GGGCAAACAATACTTTCGAAATGGTTTCGGTTTTGTCTTCTTGAAATTTAAGTTGTTGTTGTTGTAATAAGTGCATTTTAGGTATAGTCTCTGTTTTGTCGTCTTGAAAACGTATTGGAGGCATTGCTTTAAATACCGAGCCAGCAGCAGTATCTTCTTTTTCCTCTAAACGTGAAAAGTTGCCCACCTGCTTTTGATTTTTTTCCATGGAATCTTCAAAAATTGAAAAATCTAAGCCACCACCTGCACTGCCACCAACACTAGATATTACGTTTTTCTTTTGCAATCTTGTGGGTCCTGGTGTAGCAAGATTGTCACTTTGTGGCCTTGCAGTATTATTACCACTTTGTATTTTCAAACTGGTCATCATGTTGTCGACACTTTGGGTAGGTGAAATGATATTAGAAGTTTCACAGCTTAACTCCTTTACTGTTTCTAAAACAGGACCAGTTTGTGGTTGATTAATGCCCGGTGTGCAGGGCATTCGTGAATCTATATCGAATTCTGGCGAACTAAGTGTTGATTTTGTGGTGGCTCCCGTAGTATGGGTTCCTTGTGTGGTGCCATGCTCGGAAGTCTCTAAAATTGTAGATAATTGTTGTCGAGGTGGTGAATAGACCGCAACTGGAACAGCTCCTGCTAGGTAGTTCTGATTCTCTATAGAATTATTTAATGGTTGTTCTTCCTTCTGTTCCGGTATGGGGGCTGGTGTTACTTCCTTTAAAATATTTCCAAATTGTCTTTGTGGCTGAGACTTGGTAACCGCTTTTGGAGTGCTTACACTTTGCGCCTTTAAGAATATATTAAATGTTTGTGTGGAACAGGTTTCTTCTGGATCGAAAAAACCTCCGTTGCCACAACCAAAATCGGGTTTAGGCATGGAATTAGGACTGTTTTTGGCCAAATTTTCATCATCAAATATTTCAAATTGTAATTTTTTCGATGTCGCCGCAGCTACCGTTGTAGAATTAGCAATAGGTAAGGCTGGTGTTTTAAATTGAAAATCTTCATCAGCCGCTACATTTGATTTAGGCTCTAATACGGGTGATTTATTGTATGCAACTTCTACAGCATTATCATCTTTGAATATTTCAAAAGGTTTGGAGGCGGTATCAGTTTCAGTGGAACTTTTTCCTGTACCCTTAGTTGTTTGTAATTTGCATTCAATTTCATTTGCAGTTTGTTCTTCATTATGCTCTATTTTCGCAATAAATGGAACTTCCTTAATACTACTGGTTGTCGCTTCACTATTACTTTTGACAGTAGCTGATTTTTCTTGTTGCACAGCTTTCGCACCCATTAAAACTAAAGGACCGCATAATTCATTCGTTGTAGATTGCTCATCTTCCTCACTTTGTTCTGGCATTACCGACATTCGATTTGGCGCTCTAAACGCTGCGGTAGCCAATGACTTTCGCAATGGATAGAAACTTTTGCGCCGTTGTACTTTCTCACTTGTAACACACATTGTCTCCTCCATGTCGGTGGTTTTTATAATCGTATCATTTCGTTTAATACGCAAAGCTAAAAGTTCCTCATATTGTCTTTCGACCTTCTCTTCTTTGTTATAAATTTCCTCAAAGGGAACTTTCAAACCGGGAAGAAAATCTGGAAAATATGGTTCATCTATTGCCTCGAGTTTTTGTGGTTTTGATTGTTTGGCAAAATGGGGGTATAAACGTATGCTATATTTCGGCCCACAGCCCCAATATGTGTCCCGTTCCTTAGTAAAGGCATTTTCTGTGCCACGTTTCTTTAGTATGTAATAAGCCTTGAGTTCTTCTACTTGAAATTCCATATTTGGTCTAGGATATAATTTGCACTTGTTATACTGGGGTATAGTATTTTTATCGGGCATTTCTTCTGTGGTGACTGGTGTCACCCATCCTTTAATTGGTTTCGATTTGGCACAAAAGTTTGCAGGATAAATAAATGGTTTGTTAAATCTAATTTCATTCTCCTTAATGGGTATTGGAGGAACACACGGCTTTTTAAAGTCCTCCTCATCATGTTGGTCATCATCTTCGTGGATCTCAAAACCCAATTCATTTGTAATTGTTGTTTTACCAAAAAGTTTGCCTTTTTTGCGAATGTGTGCTTTATTCCAGGGACCAGGTTCTTTTTCATTTTCCTGATTTCGAGCAGCATCTATAATGGAACGTACCACAGATTTCTCCTCTTCTGGTGGTGGTTCTGTTGTTGGTATGGTTATGCCATTTGGATTCTCATTTTCATCTTTAAAAACCTGTACTCGTGCATTACCTCTTTGTGAGGAAGTCGATGGCTGATCAATCTTAAAAAAAAATAATTAAAACTGATTAAACAAGAATTTATTCTTTGATGACCGACTTGTTTAGTTTTCAATATAAAGGAAATATAAACATAAATATACAAACCTTAACTGTTCCGGGCGTAAAACTTTTAACCGCTGCACCAGTTCTTATAGTACCGACCATTTGTTTGCGACGATGACCTCTTAGCGATGTTAAAGCTAAACGTCTTTCCTGCAACTGACGATTTGTTTCTTCTTTAACACTATCATCATCCTTATACATGAGACGTTGAGCAACCGAAAACCCGAAATGTTGATGAGCCTCCTGTAAGTCTTCTAAAGGCTGAGCACGACAAGCAATACCACGTCGAAATACTTCATCCGCTTTACGAGTATTACCCACTAAATCATAACAATATGCCCACGCTATGTAAAAATCAGCTACCATTGTACCAATACCAGCATTAAACAATTGTTGATAACATTCAGCTGGATCCTTGTAACTATCGATCTTAAAAATACAATCCTTCAATTAATCACTTTATCCTTAAAGAATTTTGCAAGTATACTTACAAATTTGATGTACAGCTTAATCATACGCCGATCTTGTTTATAGCGTTCATCACTCTCAAATTTAGACAAACACTTGGATAGAACCTCTTGTAAGCCAGATTCTTTACCGCCCGATGGAAAACTTTGTTCTATCCATTCTATGTAGTTGTACCATGCAGACAATGGATCATCACCTGTGTAATTATGTATTTCTTTTTCTAATTCTTTACGCTGTGCCAACAACTCTTGGGGTGAATCTATTTTTAAGGAAGCTTGCAAAATACTTGCATTACGCCCCTGAGCCAATGGCTGTATATTCTCTTTTGCATCGTCAAAATCCATGTTTTATATAATTTAAGTAAATTACACACAGAACAAAAATGTCTTTTATATAAAAGTACAATTGGAATAGCACTTAATTTGAATTATAATTTTAAATCGCACATAGAAACTAATTTTATAGAAAATTGACAAACAAAATGCGCTAAAAATTCAAATTTTATGTTTGTAAAGCGAAGTTGGCTGCAGTTGGTTAACGAAATAATGTTGCCAGACTATATATTTTATTGTTAATGAATTAAACGAAGACAATTTATGGGAGATTATTTCGTATTGGAATTTAATTTTTTTTTCAAATAAAATGGGTTTTAAGGGGATCATATACTCCCTGGCGATGGTGCAAGCGATTGAAAGAGCAGTAAACATAGTTTAGGTAAAATATTTTGGAAATCTTTCTTGTTGTAGATAATAGCGGGTATTTTTAAATATATTTTTGTCTTGTTGGACCAAATATTTTTGAACAATTGAATATTTTAGGAAAATTCGTTTAGACAATATATAAACGGACATTTTAAATTTAATAAAATCCCTTTTAAACCCCGATATATCATTTTGTGGACAATGACCTATGAATCGACAATAATATGGAATGTTCAAGATGTCGTTAGATTAGCAGTGAGAAATGATAAGAAAAACAAAATATATTGTAACCCTACAAGAAATGTATGACCGAAACTAACACATACAAAATGATTTCACTAACACTCTTGCAACATTTTTTTTATAAAATTGCTAAAAAAAAATAGTTAATGGATAATTCCATCAATAATGACAGTCAAATGACCGGTAAAATGACTGTTGATGTACCCAATGTGTGGTAAAGGGTTTCATTTGCTTATGAAAGAGTGAAACAACTACATTTGACTGTTACTGTGTTTAGAGTTATATTTTTCGACGTTATAAATTATTTCTGTAAAAGCCAAAGATCAAGAAGCGAAAAATTTAAAAATTTACAAAGTCTATAAATTATTGCAAATAAAGAGAATTATTATAAACAGAATTTAAAAATAGTGCAGGAAGTGGAGCTGAAGATATACACTGCGGAGTTTAATCAATCTATGGTAAGTAACATGATTACTTTTAATTTTTATATTTCGATATTTATATGTATTTCTTACAGACAATTTATTTCCACAAATTTCCACAATGTATGTAAAATGGTGAAATGATTGTTAATTTATGTACATGCTTATTATATTAATAAAATTAACAAATATATATCTTAAAATATTAATAAATTGTGTTTTATTATAAATTGGTATAGCCGTCACATTTGACGGATATATTCATCACATATGATTAGTCAACAATGACCGATAAATACATCATTTTTAATTTGTTAACTGTGATAGATATATCCATCAAGCATGATCAGTCAATCCTGACTAATATTTATGTCATCCTTGATTAGTAAACAACAAAAGAGTGAGGAGCTCAAATATATGTTTTAAAGTCGATAGAATTCATAAGTGCAAGGGAGAAGAAAAATCACATGTACACAAATGTTTCCATCACTTTTGTCCATTTGCCTTAAGAAACTGATAGAAACTTTGCTTTACGCTGTGATAGAAATAATACGTCAGTAGTGCCAGTCAAATGACCTATCAAATGACTGTCACTGTTCTTGTAGGGAAGTTTATAATTGACAAATACCAAGCAAAAACATGGTTATGACTTAAAATGCATTCTAACCCCTTACTTGGTAATAAAAGTTTTTGCTGGGTTCATTAACAGGGGTATTTTCAAAATTGCGCTACAAACTGAGATCAACTCTTTCAACAAAACGCTCAGAAAAGAAACTCAAATACATTATTTACAAAACCAGAATATTAAATACTTTGTTTAGATCAACTTCAAAATTTTATATTATTTTTGAATAGACACATCTTAATTATACATTATACATACATATTATATTCTCTAACATATTAACACATGCGGTGCATCATGGCTTTACTTATAATAGGAATCTCTAATCTTAGTTTATCTTAGCAAAAATTTAACAACTGCCTCAAATGCTAATAGCATTCATTTTGTATTGATCTTTCCAAAGCAAAATTATAATCATCCTTTTCATCCACCGACATTTGTCGTGTCATCACAGCCAAAATACCATCAACTTGGGTCTGCATAAGATCGGATGTATTTTTTAAACAAAGCTGCGGGGCCAAAACAAATGGTACATCCTGCACATAAGGAACTGCCGCTTGATTTGTATTTATAGTAGCAGTCGATTGCGTTCCATGGGGTGGATATGGCATTGCGGGATAAGGTGCTACACCAAAAGCTGGTGGCATTGGTGGATACATATGATGTGCTGAGGGCTGTGGAGGTGTTGGCCCATCGTTGCCTTTCTTCTCAACGAAAATAAAATCATCTGCGCCATTGTTAGGTGCTGGTTCAGTTGCGGGACCTTGAATAACTTCTTCAGGGGGTGTATCTGGGCTTTGCTTTTTCTTTAAGAAAAACGAAAGCATATTTCTGTTTTTTACTACTTTTTTGAAATATTAACTAATACAGTGAGATTTTCTTTACTTAAAGACAATTATTTATTAATTAAATGATGCGTAATGCCCAAGTAACAAAAAACCAAAACAATTTGTGTGTGATGTATTAGAAGTATGTTCAGTTGAAGCTTTTTCCCAATGGGTATGTTTAATTTTGTGAATTTTATAAAACTCAAAGTTGCATTTGTTAAGTACTTTTTGCTACAAATTACACAAAAATAGTAGTATATAAATGTCAAACATTTAAAATTTGTTTTTACGTTATTGATAATTTTCTTAATGCAAAATTTTTTAAAAACTGATTTTCTACAAGATGTTTTATATGGAGGATAGGGTCAAATATAGGCCGATCCTCGTAAATCATGGAGAAAGGATTTATTTTTAATTTTTATGAATTTTTTATCCATCCTTGCATAATTTCTCACACAACTTTTGTGCTTGCTCTATTTTGTTGTTATAAACAATATATTTGCTTCCAAAGTCACACTTTCTGATCTCTCGTATTCCGTTTTTATTTAAAATCGTTGAAAATTTAAAAACTAAACGTAGTTGAAAACTTAGCCGGCTAACAGTCGATTTTAAGCCGCCGCCGACATATTTAGTGTCAGTCGCCGTCGACGTTAATATTTGTCGGCGCAGGGCTCTGCGGAGAAGTCCTTCATCACATTTATTTTTATTAAAAATCTCAAGATTTTATTGAAAAATTATAGATTAAAAGTGTTTAAATATGTCTAAAGTTGATACAACACCAATTGAAGAATTGCCCATTATGGAGGTAAGTCTGTATAGGCATGAATTAAACAAGTGAAAGCCCGTGGTCCAGTTTAGATATGTTAAACTATACCAAAACAGAAAAAAGTGGGAAATATTTGTGTGTATTACTATATGGTTGTTTAAGATTAAAAATTTGTTATTGCTTAAACGAAATTTGTGGTTTCTTATACTTTTGTGGTTTATTTTAAATAGCAAATACAAATTCTTATAAAACCTCCGCCCAATGAAGATGAAAAATTGGGAATACGGCCCGCAGTGGTTAAACATCCCTACTATAAACGACCGGGACGTGGTCATAACCATGATTTATGTGACGCTTGCGAAGAAGGAGGAGATTTGTTGTGTTGTGATCGTTGTCCCTCTAGTTTTCATTTGCAATGCCAGTGAGTAGATGCGCCGCTTATGTTTCCATTAACATTTTGCAGTCGTAATAAACATTACATACATACATACTAATAATAATTTTCTTTATAAATTTAAGCGATCCTCCTCTTACCGAAGACGATATTCCCAGTGGCCAATGGTTGTGTCATAATTGTCGTATGACTTTAAAGACAGCACCGTCTTCCTCAAAATCCAGTTCAGTGGAGCGCATGTCATCAGCTTCGGCCGTGGTCAACTCGCGGCCCAATACACCTTCGGTGGGCGGTGATTTAGAATCTATTCCTTTTAAAATTCGTCATTTACGTAAACGTAGCAGCAGTAGAGCTTCATTTTGTAGCGATTTAAGCAGTACTGAGAAATATCTTTCCAAATTACCAGTTGGCATACAGCGTGCCTTGGATCCCAATAAGAAACCTACACCTTTAGATGAGCTAATAAAGGCAGCTAGTATTTTGAATCCAAAACAATTTGAGCTGCCCCGAGAGCTAGAGATTCATACACAATTTCCCGGCAATGATAAAAGTAAGTTGCGTAAAATTTAAAGTTTTGATTTTATAATTTATTTTCCTTATAGTTGAACCCATACGTACGAATGGCAATGGTGGTCATAAGAAACCAAATTTTCGCCGCAACTCTAAGCCCTATGAATTGGATACACAAGGATTGGTGCCATTGCCGGCAAAAACTTGTTTTTATTGCCACCGTTCATGTAAAAAAGCACCACTAGTGGCATGCGATTATTGTCCTTTATATTTTCATCAGGACTGTTTGGATCCCCCCATGACAGCACTACCAACTGGTTTATGGATGTGTCCAAATCATGTAGAAAATTTCATAGTAGGATATTTTTTATTGAGAATAAAAATTCAGTGTTTTATATACATATTTTTCTTCCTATTAGGATGAGAATCTTTTGACCAGTATCTCGGCAACGGAGAGAGTAAGATTATGGGATAAATTTGCTCAACCTTTTGATCATGAGGCAGTAAAAATGGACTTTTTTCGACGAGTACACATGAAAAATCCACCCTTCCGCATTAAAATTCCGATTAAATCCAGAGAAACTATTGAAATTCCTCCGATGGTTAAATATCACTATGAAAATCCACCACCTTTATTGCCCTCATTAAGAGAGACCTTACGTTATGATATAGTGAAACGTCGTAAATGCTTACCGAGTGCCCCCGAAATAATATCAAAAGAAAGCGTAGCAGAATCTTTGGTTAAAGATTTGGAAGCTTTGAAAACTGCAAAAGCTAAATTTAGAGAAATACAAAAAGAATTGGGAAATGTTGAGGAATTAAGTAGCAGTAGTAGCAGTGAAAATGAGGAAGAACCAGATAAAACTGAAGAGAATGATAGCAAAACGACAAAAGAAGCAGAAGATTTAAAGGATAAAGAAAAGTGTAACAGCACACAAAAACTCCTACATAAAACTAAACGCACGAAACAAAATAGTTTATCAGAAACGCAAGTAAAAGCCGAAGATGAACTTTTGACCAGTGATAAAGACGAAAAAGCTTTACAACTTTTAAATGAACAAATTAAAGCAGAAAATGATCACAGTGCTGAAGAATCGGATGAAGAGACTAAATACGATCCTCAAATTGATACTGAGCTGCAGTATTTGGATGTGGATCTCATTAAGAAATTGGCCTACCAACGTTTGCAGCAATTGGTACAGGAGCATCCAGAAATCGTGGTACAATATCAAAATCGTACCGCCGCTAAACGTATAAGAGAGTTGACTGCCCAGCCTGCTGTTGGTGCAGCAGTTTCAGAACAGGACAAACTGCCCATTGTACCATCGCAGATTTTATCACCTACCGATGTAAGACGTCTCTGTATAATGTTTACGGGAGAAACGTCTTCAATTTTAGCTCAGCCCAGTACGGCTAACGATAACGATTTTCCCCAACTGCACCCGGCCTTGGCTACGGCAGCTGCCATTGTGGCGGCCGACGAGGAAGAACAGAAATATGTGCCACGTATACGTAACGATCAGGAAAAAGCCTATGAAATTGCCACTCGTCTAGAACTTAAATTGTTGAGACGTAAGATACGCGCACGAGCTGTTCTAACACCTTTGGGTGATATTTTAGAAGACAATCGTTGGTTTAGCAATGTTGAATTGCACAATTCATTCTTTATGCGTTATCGCAGTCTTAATATCGGCTATGGCGATTCCAATACTGGTGTTGATGTCAATTTATCATTGATTGGTTATTGTCGTCGCATTTCTCCCAAACATGCCACAATTTTCTATGATGATTTCACAAAGACCTATGAACTTATTAACTATTCAGAACATGGTACCGAGGTTAATGGACAATTGTATTCGTGTGATTTTACCGAACGTGATCCAACGCCCGCGAAAAAACTGAAAAATGAAGATATTGAATTGCAAAAGAAAGTACAGGCCATACTTGATAAGAGACGGGGTATACAACGTCATTATTTTGTTGTTGACAACAGTACAAGGTTTGTAATACATATAAAGAAAAAAGTTTATTATTTTATTTTGTATTGATTACAGAATGGCTCCACCACCAAAACCAGATTGCAAATGTTCGCCCTATGAAGATTCGCCTATGATAAATGGTGCCTGGGAGGGAACAGCTATTTTGCAACATGGTTCTCTTTTACGTTTTGGCTGCTTAGCTTTTGTATTTTCCCTGCCTAAATTGGAAACATGCAATGGCCAAGGTTAACTCTTTAAAAAAAAGCAAACAGCTTCGAAGTACAATAAATGGCGTAATTTAAGAATTTGTAAAAATGCTGTTTACACGATTTTATAATTTTTTACAATATTTTTTTAATGTTTTTTTTTTTAATCAATAGTTTTTAAAGAAAATCTCTTATTATTTTTTTTCGGTTTGTTTTATAAATTTTTATATATTTACTTATAAAAAGCAACAAAAAGTAAACAAAAAACACCCTGTACAATAAATATAAATTGTATTTGTTGTTTTATCCTTTTTTTTTTTTTAATAATTAAATACAGAAACAAAGAATTAATTAAATTAACATAAAATTTAAAAGTAGTGTATTCATACTCAGTTTAAAAAGTTTTAAACTAGTTTTTTTATTATTATCTTTAGCATAATGTTATTGTATGTATATTAAAAACACACACACATACACATGTAAAAAAATGTGCACAACTAAATATTTAATTGTAATAAAAAATTAAATTTAACTTATGTTTAAAAATAAAATCTTAAAATTTGTTTTAATTTGAAAATTTGCTGCTGTTTATACCCTCCTCCTTACCCAGCGTAAGAATAATTTAATGCATTTTATTTGTAACACATATAGAGCATTCATTTGTCAGAAGACCGTTATAATTGAAATATTTTACTACAAGTAAATTCTTTAAGATAATTCAATGAACATTTAAAAATTTTTTTTTTGAAATTTTAAAGTTTGAAATTGGAAAATGTAAGTTTTCAACCTCCTAATGAAACTAAAATTATATTTTAGAATTGCATAACATGATTTTTCGAAGAATCTTTTTTTAAAATTTTTTTTGGAGAAATTACTTTGATCCTAACAATTTTTTAAATACTTAGTATTTTTAACATAAAATTCCATTATTTTAAGTGTATTAATGAACGCCAAATTTCAGATTATTCGAAATTCAAGAAATTTCTGTATCCAGAATTGAGAGAATATTGGGCCCACATTTGTAGTTGAATAAGTTTTCTATTCGCTTTTAATTTTAGTTTAGATCAAATCGGTTCTTGTTCAGTTCTACTTCATTATAATTCAGCTCTAGTTGAGTTCTAGTTCATCTTCAGTTTCATTCTAGTTCATTTATAGTTTAGTTCTTGTCCAGTTCTTCTTTAGCTCTAATTCAGTTTTAGTTCAGTTCTAGTTCGGTTCTAGTTCAGTTCTAGTTCGGTTCTAGTTCGTTTCTAGTTCAGTTGTAGTTTAATTCTAGTTCAGTTCTAGTACAGTTCCAGTTCAGTTCTATTTCAGTTCTAGTTTAGTTCTATTTCGGTTCTAGCTCAGTTCTAGTTCAGTTCAAGCTCAGTTCTAGTTCAGTTTAATTAAATTTATTGCAATTACACCCATACATATGTATATATTTTAACTTAATTTTGGTAAATTTGTTTTCAAAACGAATTCCAATTTGATCACAAATGCGGTAATTCGTCCCTTTATCTTTAGATCTTAACCACATTCCACTTTATAAACATTGCTTAATTTAAATTGTTAAAATTTTCTTCGTGAAAAAAAATGTTATAAAGATTTTGTCTTGCATTAAACTAATGATGGACTTAAAAATACACATCAAAAAGTTGGGAGGATATAAACAATTTAGTTTATATTTGCTCAAATAAATATATTTAACATTTTCTTGGGCAACACTTAACTAAAATCTAAAACATATTACAATTATCTATATTATTCTGTATTAATACATTCCTGTGTGAGCGTTGATGACGTTACGGCTGTTGCCTCTATTACCACTGCTGATGATTTATCTTTTATCTCATCTTCTTGTACTTGTGCCTCACCGCCATCTTCCGGTTTCAATTTATAACGTTCCTGTTTCGATTTCCACCATTCATCGGGATGTTGGCGTTTGATATGAACATACATATTTGATTTTGATCTCGACTCTTTGCCACAATGAGGACAAGTATAGAGATTCGTATCTGTATGCATGGCCATGTGTTCGTCAAGATTTCGCTTTTCACGAAACACTTTATCACAATAGCTACATGAGAGATTGCGTTCACGACGATGCCAATAGCCTTTATGTCGACTCAGATTCTTTTTGGTCTTAAAGAATTTACCACATATATCGCAGGCAAATTGTGTATCTTCATGTGTCTGATGATGTACTCGTAGACTATGTTGATTTTTCAACCATGCTCCACAGATTGTACATTGTGCGGGTGGCTCGACAATGCCCTGATGTTCGTCGTAGTGTTTTTGAAAGGATGTTTTCGATTTGAATTTCTTGCCACAAATATCACAAATATGATGGTAGATATTATTGTGTACGGATGCAATATGATTACGCAAACGATATATAGTTGCACATCTATATAGATAAGATTTAAGGAGGTTGATGTTGGCAAATTAGTTTTTTTTTTTAAATACATATTAACAAAATTGTATAGAATAATCAATAGTCTATTTAGATATGTACCGCATTATGTTATAAAATAAAATGGTATTTCATTGTTTAATTGACCCTAAAGAGACAATCTTAAATTTTACAAATTCCAAAACTTTTCGAAAGTTTACTTCTAGTTCAGTTCTAGCTAAGTTCTACATCACTTGTAGTTCAGTTCTAGTTTAGTTCTAGGTCTTCGGAATTAAAATAAAAAAATCGCAGAAATACTTAATAAAAATATAGAAAATATTCACAACACAAACTTTAGTATAGAATATCTGAAAGATTTTATACCGGTCTTTCTGCAAATGAATTCTATATTAGGCAACATTAACAGTTGTTGGCCAACCAATTCCATTTTTCATAAATAAGAAAGAAAACAGATTTTTTTTTTTTCAAAAAATTCATACATGTAGGTAATCAGTAAAATAACATTTACAAAAAACTTAATAACTGTAATAATTAATATTCCTTTAATTAAAACATACATCGTAAATACATTTACAAAATTATGTAAAAAATTTGATTAATTTGTTTAAATTAAGGGTTTTCTGTTTTAAAATCAATGCTTAAACGTTTCATTTTCGATTTCGCACTTTCTGAAGGCTGTTGCCTCTTTAAGGATTAACTGTGTTTAAATCTATATTTAAACGTTCCATTTTCGATTTCCACCATTCTGCAGGATGTTGTCTCTTTATATGAACATACATATTTGATCTGGAACGTGACTCCTTTTGACAGTGAGGACATTTATAAAGCTGTTCTCCCGTATGTATCGCCATATGTTCTTTTAGATTGCGTTCTTGTCGAAAAACTTTATCACAATAGCTGCATTGCAAATTTACATCAGAATTATGCCAATAGGATATGTGCCGACGCAATCTATGTTTGGTTTCAAATACTTTTCCACATATATTGCATGCTGCAGGATGTTTCTCATGCTCAAAACGATGCAGTCGAAGTACGCGTATGTTTTTAAGCCACTTTTGGCAGATGGTACATTGTACGGGTGGATCGACAATGCCCTGATGTTCGTCGTAGTGTTTTTGAAAAAAAATTTTCGATTTGAATTTCTTGCCACAAATATCACAGATATGACGGTAGATGTCATTGTGTACGGATGCAATATGATTTCGAAAACGATATATAGTTGCACATCTATATAGATAAGATTTAAGGTGGTTGATGTTGGCAAATTAATGGAGTTTTTTTATAATATCATAAATATTCAATAATAATAGTAATACGATTTTTAAAGATTGTTTAATATAGTACATATTTAAATATGTTCTTTCAGTTCTAGTTCAGTTATTATTTGTTGTGTCAAACATGTTCTGTTGGAACATTCTATGAACAAAGAGAGCCAACCTAATAAGAAACCTAGTCTAAAACTTAAGAGAGTAAAAAGCAATTTGCTTTATTTGTTCTAGAACAAAAGTAATTATTATTTTTAATACACCACACAAAGTAATAATTGAATACATTTATTTAACTAAATAAATAGAGGACTTAATTAAACAAAAAATTATAATTTGTAATATATTTCTTAACATTGCTGATGAACTACGGCCGTCTCAGCTTTTGGTTCTATATTTAAACGTTCCATTTTCGATTTCCACCATTCAGCCGGATGTTGTCTCTTGACATGAGCATACATATTTGATTTAGAACGTGATTCCTTTTGACAGTGAGGACATTTATAAAGCTGTACACCCGTATGTATGGCCATATGTTCTTTCAGATTGCGTTCCTCACGAAAAACTTTCTCACAAAAGTTGCATTGCAAATTAACATCGGAATTATGCCAATAGGATATGTGCCGGCGCAATCTATGTTTGGTTTCAAATACTTTTCCGCATATGTTGCATGCTGTAGGATTTTTCTCATGAACAAAACGATGCAATCGTAGGGTGTGTTTGTTTTTAAGCCACTTTTGACAGATGGAACATTGTGCGGCCGGTTCAATGATGCCTTGATGTTGATCGTAGTGCAATTTAAATGAATCTTTGTTTTTAAACTTTTGACCACAAATATCACAAACATGATATTTTATATATTTGTGTGTATTATCAATATGACGCATTAAATTATTTTCCGAGGATAGTCTAAATAAAATTAAAGATAATTATTTGTTAAGAAATTGTGTTATGCGTAAGTGAGCAAGTTATATCCTATAAACAAATAGACGACAACCTAATAAGCAACCTATTCTAAAACTAAATAGTTGTTTTTGAAGAATAATAATAACTATTGTTATTATTGTTGTATTTAATACACCACACAAAGTAATATTTGAAAACATTTATTAAAGTAAACAAATAGAGGACTTAATTAAACAAGAAATGGTTTGTTGTAATATATTCTTAATATTACTGCTGAACAACGGCCATCTCATCTTTTGGCTCTATATTTAAACGTTCCATTTTTGATTTCCACCATTCCGTTGGATGTTGTCTCTTTATGTGAACATACATATTTGATTTTGAACGTGATTCCTTTTGACAGTGGGGACATTTATAGAGTTGTACTCCCGTATGTATAGCCATATGTTCTTGCAGATTACGTTCTTGACGAAAAACTTTCTCACAAAAATTACACTGTAAATTCAAGTCGGATTTGTGCCAATAGGACTTGTGTTTGCGCAGTCTATGTTTAGTATCAAACACTTTGCCACAGATATCGCAGGGTGTTGGATTTTTCTCGTGGACAAAACGATGTAATCGTAAACTATGTTTGTTTTTCAGCCATCGATTGCATATAGAACATTGGGCGGCTGGTTCTATTATGCCTTGATGTTTAGCATAGTGGTTTTTGAATGAATCTTTATTTTTAAACTTTTGACCACAAACATCGCAAACATGATATTTTGCATATTTATGCATATTTTGGATATGACGAGTTAAGTTATTTTCCGAGCAAAATCTATATTTAAAATTTAATTCAAAATAAAATATATTGTAAAGTCATTATTTGTAATATATGTATTGGTATTATTCGTAAAGCCTAGACGCTATATTTGCAGTGTTAAACATTTTAAATTTTTTAATTTATAATAAAACTATTAGTTCTAGAATTAAAGTAATCAAAATCATTAATAACATCTTAGGAAAATTGCAAATTTTGAAGTTATAATAGATAAAACATTAAGACGGTTATGTAAGATAATCATAATCCATTTCGTTTCACAGATAATATTATTTCGTACATAGAATGAGAACGAAACTTTTATCAAATAACAACATGTGTTACAAAAATAATGTTCAGAGTAAGTAGAGGGTATAAACATTTACTATCATAGGTAACAACGATTATTAAAGTTAACAATGGTTTTAAATTTAATAAATGTATTTACATAAGGTCCTTACTTTTCTTAACAAAAAGTGGACCTATTTAAAGACAAAACTCAATTATGGACAAACAACATTAAAACTTATAACTATTAAAAACTACAATTAAATCACTTTGAAACAACAACTTCAAATCACTTTTGATCCTCTCCCTTTCACCTCCTCTTCGTTTTTCGTTTGCTTATCTTTAGGTACTAAATTTAAACGTTCCATTTTTGATTTCCACCATTCATCCGGGTGTATTCTTTTAATATGAACATACATATTTGATTTTGAACGTGAATCTTTACCACAATGCGGACACGTATAGAGTTGAACACCCGTATGTATGGCCATATGTTCATCAAGATTACGTTTTTCCCGAAAGACTTTATCGCAAAAAGAACATTGTAAATTTGTATCTAATGTATGCCAATAGACTTTATGTCTATATAATCTACGTTTAGTTTGGAATAGTTTTCCGCAAACATCACAAGGTGTTGGATGTTCTTCATGTGTGAAACGATGTAGTCGCAAACCTTCTTCGTTTTTAAGCCATGTATTGCATATCGAACATTGTACAGCCTGAGAGACTATACCTTGATGTTCATCGCAATGACGTTTAAAAGCGGCTTTATTTTTGTAGACACGTCCACATATATCGCAGACAAGCGGTGGTGCTTTCTTATGAAAGTTACTAAGATGTCGTTCTAAATGATATTCTGATTGGAATCTATATAGTATAGGAAATTTCAATTGAAAAAAATAGGTTTTATTTTTTCAAAAATCTATAATTTTGTTTTTCTAGATTAGATTTGTTGTAATAAAAAGTTATCAAATAGACTAGTTAATATACTAGTCAAGAGAATAGTCAACAGATTAATAAATAGACTAGTCCATGGAATAATAAACATAGTATTCAACAGACTAGTCCATAGACTAGACAACGCACTAGACTTGTCTTTAGATTAGTCAATAGGCTATTTCAAGGACTACTCAAAAGACTTTGTAATGTAATTAGTACTTTTAATCCTAAAATAGTACTGTTTTTGCAATGTTTCAATTTTTAAATAAATAACGGGTAATATGGCAGTATTCTTCTGTTGTATAATATTCGAAAAAAGCGAAAATTCGTATTTAATTTCGAATTTTTCATTTAAACAACATTTGAAAACTCATTAAATATTCTTCTATTTTTTATGTTAGCAATGGCTTAAGCACTTTCGATAACTTTGTTAACCGTTCATGAAATTTTATTTTTTTCTTTATCGTCTAAATAGTCTTTGTGTCTTCTTATCTAGACTATCAATTAATAAAAAGATGGTCGAAAATAAAAATAAACTCTTCAGAATTTAAAATAAAAATATTAAGTGATAAAAAATGGTATACATTTGTATTTCTATATTAATTGTTCTATTCCAGCTTAAAAACCAGTTGTTACACCAAAATTAGTATTCGGAATAGGAAAAACACTTTTTTTTAACATTTTATACATTTTTTTCCAAACGCTCATTTTAATATCTTGACTGATTAATATTCAGTTGTATTTAGGAAGATTTCTTCACTATATGGTTTTAAACATATGAATACTTTCATAAAACCAGATACACACAATAACTCGCCCACTTCCTTATAAAGGACTTCTGAATTACTAATAATATACAATATGTTCCCAGCAGTTCAACAGAGAGTTAATCCATACGAAAAAGACAGTAATTTCCACTAACGTCTAACCACCTGGTTGGCTCTAATTCGTCTTTCGTCCTCACTTTAGAGTCCCATTTGTAAGCGAGACAGTGAACACTTAAAAAGCAAACTTAAGCTTTTTGTTTTAACATATGGGGTGACGATTGACTTCCTCGTAATAAAAGCACTCGTTAAAATAGTCACCTAGGCAGACTTTGGATAGGGGTAAGTAGCCCTTAGTGGTTAGTTAAATAGGTTGTTTCGGAACTGTCCGACCGAACTTCTGGGTTGTTATACTTTTTTTAGAGCAATACTTTGTTTATATGATATTTTTAGCTACTTTACGAAGTCTACATTAAATATTGCGCTATTCTTACAAGCCTAAGATGACAAACCTTTTGCAAATATCTAATTTATTTAGAAAATATTTAAATAAATTTATTCTGATACAATTTTTTTAATTAAATAACTTATAAATTGCTTCACAATAAGTGGACGAGTTATTTTTGGTATCTGTATAAAAAGAAAATTGAAAAAAAAACCTCTTACCTTTTATTGCAAATATGACATTCAACTTCTTTATCTTTGTTGTGAGAACGTAAATGCTTCTTAAATAGATTATAATTGCGTATACGTTTGGAACAGTGTTCGCACTCGTAGAATTCAACTGAATCAGCTTCATCGGGATGTTCTGAAGTTATATGTATAGTTAGATTACGAGCACTCGACATATTTTTATCACAAATTTGACATCTGCAAATAATAGTGAAAAAATTAAACAATTAAAATTAAATATTTAATTATTTGTTAAACCTTATAATACTTACTTAAACATATCCGGATTTTTGTGCCACTCAAGATGTTCAATAAGTTCTCGTGGTTTACGATAGGTAATGTCACAGCATTTAATATAGGGTGTCTTGGTATGTGCCAGCAGAAAGTGTTCTCTTAATGCCTTCCAGGTTTCAACGCGTGTCTGACAAATATCACATACTAGATCCATAGACATGGCCACTTCTTCTTGTGCGGATAATTTCTTTTTAGCTGGTTTCTTCTCTTTAATCTCGCGAGGTTTTGCAGGAGCTTTTTTACGTTTTGTTTTTGCGTTCTTCGTTTTCTTAGTGGATTTAAGTTTTATTAAGGGCACATCATCATCTGTGGGAGTAGTACTATTACTTCTATTATTCATTAAATAAAAGCTTTGGAAACTTACCTTCCGAAGAAATTTGATCTGGTAAGTAATCATCATCCTCTTCTTCATTGACCGCTACACTATCAGGTGCTATAATGTCTTTCTCCACATTACCTATAACAGTATCCATTAAGTCCTCTGTAGGCATTTCCTTTTCGTCATTATCATCATCATTATCCGATTCATCCTTAAACATACTTATCGGACAGTTAATGGTCATTTGTGTAGTTTCTTTCGGATCCATTTCAATTTTATCCTCATGATCATCATTGTCCCAAGCATCACCATCATCATCAAAATTAAATTCTTTCTTAAGATTTACATCCATAAACTCATTACGCAGTGTTAGCTGCTTCTCAGCCACTTGTTGCGAAAATCGATGAAACTCTTCCAAGTGATCATAACAATCTTGACATATAATAGTCGATACAATGTCGTTCTGTTTAATCTAAACGAATGAAATTTAAGACACCAATTAAAATGTAACAATAGAGAAAAAAAAAACATAAGACGCCACTACTGCTTACTTCAATTTCCAAATACTTTTCGATTAGTTTGACCATTTCTAGGGAATCACTTGATGTGTCTAAATTTTCATACAATTTAATGCTGGATTCTTTTGGAATGTCTTTTAAACATAGACGACAAATCATTTTAATAGTAATTTTATGTTTTGTTCTTAAATATTTGGATGAAAATTCATTAAACTAACAATAAAAATTTTTTTCTGACAGATGTGTATATCTTCTTCTTATCACAATGAAACTGAGACAGACATTCACATTGAAGGGTTAACATTAAGAGTTGCCAGTAAATTTATTTTGATAGACTTTTTATAATTTTAGTGATTTTTTAAATAAATAAATTTCGAAACAGGAATATAATAGTTTATTTTACTTTTATTTATTAATTGCCATAATTCAATTAACTAATTAAAATGGAAGGGAGACATTTTATTTGAAATCGTGTTTTTTATTGGAAATTCGAATATTAACAATTGCAAGCACTTTAAACAGTCGTTTTTTCTTTGAATTTCAAATAAAAAACCTCAAATTCATTAAAAAATTTCACTTTTCGGAATTTGAAGTGAAAAATTCCTATTTTCAAATGAAAATTTTTAAAATGCTTTCTGAGCATTAAAGCGTGTTTTTATATTTCTAACAGCCTATTTAAACGTTACATTTACATTTCTCCAATTTCTTATCCAGAGAATCCGGTTCCACACGATTTTTACTTCTACAACGCTTATTACCCTGCATTTTCTTTTCGGCTGCACACATTAAACGTTCTTTTATATAATTGTCCATTTTAAAATCGGCTTCTATAGGCTGTTCTTCCTCTAAATTATGAGTTGCAGCCGAATCTAATGCTTTAATTATAAGGCTAAGTATAGCATGTGATAATTTATGACATACTTCATATTCTGTGCCCTCTTTAGTGTTATAATAAATGGCTGTTTGTGTTGGTGGTTCCACACCGATGGATTGTAAAATATTACAGAATATACCGCGATGCATGCGAGCATAAGGTTCTACTAGAGATGCTGGTATATGCATTGTTGTTGCCAATTTGGCTAGAAAATTGGAAAACTTTTTCAAGACCACATTTAAATATTGGGTGCGACATTGTAACTCTAGTTTGGTAAGCATTTCGTAATACAATTCTTGTTTGCGTTTTAAAACATCTTCTTTGCGGCGCTCTTTGGACTTTTGAGCGCGTATAGCTTGTTCTAGTTGTCTATAAAGATTTTAGTTTTATTTTTTTAAATGAATTAAATGTTTATTACTATTCTTACTCCACTGTAATTGTATCATGTTTGGCTGCTAAACGTTTCAGACGTTTACCTCTTTCCAATGGTACCATCATCTCTGAAAATTGTTTTGCATTATCCGCTAAACTTCTCTTCTTAGGTTTGGCCAAAAATTCGGTATAAGGACTAGCATGTGGAGGCTTTATGGGTCTATATGCCATTTGTTCAACATATTTTTTAAGTTTATTAAGATTTTTGTTATGTTGACGTTTCTCAAATGTTAGCTCTTCATCGTCTGTGTCCTCTTCAGTACTTTCTTCGGGCGTGGGTAAAGGTTGATCCCAATCTTCAACATTTTCACTTGCCATTTTTGTAATTTGCAATAAATTAAATGTGTTTCAGATAATAATTTTTACAAAAAATTTTGTCAAATGCTCACAAAAATCCTTGTAATTCAAAATTTAATTTCTTTTCAATTATCGAAAGATGAATATGTTTTCGATAAAATAATCGAAATAATAGTAAAACTAAAGGAAGAAGTTTTTTTAATAAAAAATATAATTTATATAATCCTTCACATATCAATAAATCTATCTATATATTCACCTATCTATATTTCTATCTGTATGTCTGTCTGTCTATCTATCTTTCTATCTATATATCTATCTATCTATCTATCTATCTATCTATCTATCTATCTATCTATCTATCTATCTATCTATCTATCTATCTATCTATCTATCTATCTATCTATCTATCTCTCTATCTATCTATCTATCTATCTATCTATCTATCTATCTATCTATCTATCTATCTATCTATCTATCTATCTATCTATCTATCTATCTATCTATCTATCTATCTATCTATCTATCTATCTATCTATCTATCTGTCTATCTATCCATCTATCAACTTGAGTAGCAAGCGAACCGGTTTCAACTTTAAAATTTTGTTCATAGCAAAATGTCAGTTAAAAATAATTTTCACATAAAAATTTTCATTTTTATTTTATAATTTTCAAACACAACCACTGCTCAGGTACCTCGAAAGTATCCGTAAAATGAGGAGAAAATTCATTTTTATAAGGCACATGCCATACATCCTCCACTTTATGGGCACATATTAAATGACGTATGGGTTCCTTTACAATAATTTTACCACTTTCGGTTTGGGTCACCAATGAATATTGATGTTCTTGTTGCCAACGGCGAAATATTACTTTAAGCTCGGGTCCTAGTAAGAAAGCATGCTGACGCATTAAATCCCTCGAAAAGAAATCAGTCATTTGACCACTTTTTAAAGTGGCATACAATAAAAAGGGATCATCCTGGGAGCTAAAAAAACGGTAAGCATTTTACTCAATAATGTTTCCTAAAAAAATATTTGACTTACATATCATTGGCCAGAAACACAGCTGCATTATCCTTGACATATTGCATAGTTTTCTTGGGCCAATTGTTCATATGTTTGCGGCCTAAAATTAAAACGTATTTATTCTTATTGTGGAAATATTTTACCACAGATGCCAACTAAAATTTTGCAAAAATTATTCAATATCAATTCATTTCTAATAGACAAACGAAATTTGTTAACATACCAAATTAGCCAAAGCTTGGGTAGGTTTCCTACTACCCATGGAGTAGGCTACATTAAGACCATCCACCACACAATCATACGGTCCTGTACGTTCAACATAATCACAGAATCTTTTCACTTCTTGAGGTGTAGATTTTTGAAAAACATCATTACGTATTAGAACTTTATCTAGGAATGATGTTTGCAATTTCGTAAAATCCTCATCACTTAGCGAAACGTTTTTCATATGAAGACCACAAGAAGAACATTTGCCAAAACGTTTTAATTTAGATTGAGTAACCTGTAATAAGTTAGGATGTTTTAAGGCCACATCTTGCAAAGCTTCAACAACTTTTTGTGTTATAACAATATCATGATTTTCCAGAAATTGTAATAGTTTTTCTAATTCGATTTGGAAGTCTTTAAAATTCTGCTGCAGTAAGGTGTTTAGTAGAGTAATAAATATTTCGCATTTTGGCTGTTTTCTTTGTTCTAACATTTGATGCAGAAGCTGCCATCCCAAGGACAAATCATTGGTGGCAAAAGCTTTAATAATTATTTCAGTATAGGCCGGTAAACTAGGTGCATTACTAGATACTTTCATCATTTCAAGAAGTTCCAAACCTTCTCTCCACTTTTCGGTAGCTACCAAACCACAAATTAAATTTTCACAAGATAAGGAGTCCAATATTTCATGTTTTGCTCTCATTCTGTTATAAATTTCCAATATTTCTTCCTGTTCTTCTTGGGCCAGAGCTCCGCTTGCATGGTAAACATTATTATAAACTCGTAGCAGTTTACCTAATGTAGCCTCATTGGGCTGTTTACCACTGTCCTGTAAATGCTTAATATAACTTTTGGCCAACGATAAGTGTTCAGAATCGCTGCATACACCAACTATTACGGCGTCCACATTATTTTTATTAATATGTTTATAGTTTTTAATTAATATTTCTGTTACATTTTGCCAATCTTGTGTTGTTAACTCAGTACGATTACGAAAGTAGGTGTTTTTGATTTCAGCCAATTGATCTGTCTTGGTGTTTAATTGTGGCCTTTTAAAATTACTCGCCAATCGTAGATTATTTGAATTTAATATTATATTATTATTTGGTAATATTTTAGGTGTTATGAACCGGCATAGCTTGGACAAGTGCATTTTTGTTAACGATTTTAATAATAGTTTATATTTTTTGGCGAAGAAAATGTTGGGTTATGTCTTTGTTTACATATTTTAACCATATGAGGTTTGTTTACATTTTTGCATTCATCGTCAGAGATGGAGTTTTATTCCAAATTAAATACAAATTGTTAATGATTAATTAATATATTAGTATATTGAGTGGGTCACTGCAATGTGCAGGGTAATGGAGTTGCGGACGAACTAAATAGATTATGTTCGAATCTTGAAACCATCCATCTGTCACTATTATAGATTGATTTTCAAAAGCATCCGTGACATTATCAACCAGTCCTGGAATAGTAGAAAGGATTGCAAAATATCAAGTGTCTTATGGCCAACACTTGATGTGAAGGCTACCAAGATACTTATAAAACTGGATAGACGCAGTCTAAGGATTATCACAGGGATCTTAACAGTGCTTTTGTCAGTAAGGCACCAGTATATCCTGCGAAGATGCAGAGGAACTAGAATACAGGAACTAGAATGCAGAGGAACTAGAATACAGGATCTTAGGTTGAAATGGCTGAGAAATAAGTTTCATGACGAACTGCGGGAAATTGTGGGTCTCAGCCCTCGTAATCTACTAGGTTTTATAGGACTACTGAGATTCTCTCACAATTCCTTCTTAGTGAATCGATTCGCATAAAACTTCCAGATTTAAACTCCTTAGGAATTGGCCTGTTTTTATACCTCTCTCCTCTCTTTTATTTTTGTTTTCTTCCAGTGTTTTGCTTTTCTACCTTTGAATCTTCACACTCTACAAAGGGATTCCTAATGGTCTCCGAGTGGAGTTGCAGCTTTTTATGGTGTATAAACCTTCTAAGATTTTAAACTTTAAAAAATTCTGAACCGATTTGAAAATTTAATTTTAAAATTTTCAATGCAGTTTTAAAATCAGCTTTTAAAGAACTTTAAGTTTTTTTAATTACACGAAAAATATTTGTTTTAAATTTTGTAAAGAAACAGAATGGGCTAAAATTAACCACACTATAGGACTAACCACAACATCTCCGGTACGGCAACACGGTTTGTTTTATCAAACAGCTGAGATTGAGTTCTTTTTGTTGTTGTATACGTTCTAGTTCCACTTCTTGCCATCAACATCAATTCCGTGTGTCTTTGTATTTGATTGGCGATAGAAGAAAGTGGTTAAAAAGAAACATAACTAAAAGTTAATTGTTTTATCATATAAAACATTTATAATAATAAAAATCATTGTATATAATTAATAGAGAAAAACGTAAAAAAGAAAATAAAAATCTCGTAATGAGTTTTGTAAATAGTAAAAAATAACCATGAATACATTGCGTAACATCTTCACATCGCGTACCATCAACTATCTCCGACAAAATGGACAAAACGCACTCATTAATATTACACAGCCCGTGGATAATGCCACCAATGCAGCACCTCTCAATCAAAATGGTACAAACAACAAGTCGGAGAAGAGACCCAAGGAACCGTTGCTTATACCGAGAACCATACTAGATGCTACCGTGTTTACGGGTAAAAAATTCCCCACCAAAAGCTCAACGGGTTCCATATCACCAACTACCCTAAAGAATTATCGTCGTATGACCCGCAAAGTGGATATTGTCTATAGGTGTAAACTCTGCAATACACGCAATATCAAACAAGTCTCGGAGGCAGCCTATACTAGTGGAGTGGTCATATTACAGTGTGATGGTTGTTCGGTTAATCATTTGATTATCGATAATCTGGGTTGGTTTGCCAATACCAAAGGAAAAACATTTGATGAAGTTTTAGCCGAAAACAGTGATAGTGTTAAAGTTATTAAGGTCAATGAAAATGGTGAATTGATCTAAACTAGTCCTATGTAAAGTTTTGCCATTGTAACAATACAATAACAAATTGAAAATTTGTAATTTTGAAATATTTTTGTTTGTTTTTTATAAATCCCGTTATTTTTAATGTGCATATTTTTTTACTTAATTTGTTTTTAAGTATTTTTGGACTCAAATATTTTTTGTATATTATTTATATTAGAAGAAAATTTGTTTTTAAAAAAAAATTATTCATTATTTAAAAGAAAGAAAACCATCAACCAAAAAATACATATTTTTTATACAATAACCCATTTTTTGTTATTTTTTTCTAATTGTTAATATAGTAAACAGCAACAACAACAATAAAGTGATAAAAATATTAAAAAAATAAACAAAACATTGTGTATTATATATTAAGAACACAAAAACAAAATATTTATATTAATTTGTTTATTTCTTAGAATTGCCAAATTTATCTACGCGTGTGAATGAGTGTATTTTATTAGAAATAGATTCGTACGTATGGCTATAGGCTACCAAGGAGACTATCTATAGTATATTAGGCAAGGGTGTTCGTTGCTCTTAATCTTTAAAGTATCTCAGACATGACAAACACATTTTTTGTTTATCAAACTGGTTTGCATTTCGTTTTAATCAGTGGGGACATTAATTATGAAATAATTTAATTTTATTAACAATACTATACGAAAAATGTGTTGTTAGTGTAGTGTATTGTTATTTTATGTGTGTTCTCGAATAAAATTAAAAAACTATAACAGCACACACGTTATTGCGATATTACGTCTTAAGTATATAACTAGGAAGCGTCTAGCTAGAATTGTATGTGTAGTTATATTTGTATACACAAATCTACCCCTAACAGCGCAAAAGCTTAACAAACATTAGTTTATTTAGATTTTAGTTTTTAATTATTAACAGTAGCAAAAAAGCACTTCCCTATATTATACCCTACAACCAGTAAATATTAGTTTAGCTGCAAATTGTAACACAATTTTAAAGCATATTTGAAATGGGGGTGGGATCTTATTCTGCATTTCGATTACATTTCCGTATTGAGTTACGCAACGATCGGAAAAATGTTTTACAACAAAGTGCGCAATCATAAGAAAAAGGAGATAATTTTGATTCGAATTGAAATAGAGAATAGGGGTGAATGTTCGGAATGGTTCGAAAACTTGAAAATTTTTTTTAATTGTTAAAACAATCTCATTTAATTTTTTTTTAATAAAATTTAATTTAAAAATTTTGAAATGTTTAAAAATAATATTATGTATTAGAAGTGTAAAAAAAGGTGCAACTCCCCTCGAAGACCATAAGATCCATTGCGATTCCTTACAAAGATGGGGGAAACACTTAAAGAAAACAAACAGATCATAAGCAGAGAGGAATAAAAACAGTAGGTGACAATCTCTAAGTTTTGACGAATCGATTTCCCTAAGAAAGAATTGTGAGAGAATCTGAGCCTCCCAATAAAACCAACTTGAAGAAATGACTAATTCCCCTGATAAAACCTAGAAGGCTGCGAGAGTTGAGTAACGAAATTTCTCCCAGTTCGTCATGGAACTTATTTGTAAACATTTCAACCTTAGATTCTGTATTCTAGGACAGTGGAAAATTATGTGCTCAATCTTCTTTAGTTCCTCTGCATCTTTGCATATCCTGCGATAGTCCGGTATATTATCGTCCCACTTACTGACAAAGGACCTAATATAGCAATGCCCCGTTAAGATCACTGTCAGAATCCTTAGACTGCGCCTATCAAGTCCTATAAGTTTTGTGTTGGCCATAAGGCCCTCGATATTTTGCAATCCATTCTAGTATTCCAGGACTGGTTGATGATATTACGGATTCTCTCAAAAATCAACCTATAATAATGACAGATGGGTAGTTTCACTCTTCAATCCCTATTATTTGTGTCAAGGTAAGCGTTCTAGCTAGTTTGTACGCAACTTTATTGCCATGCAGTGCCCCGGCACCCATAATGTCCCTAAGAGCATTTCTAACATCTAAAACCGGGCGCGAATGTACCTTATGACATACCAATGCTCTAAGAGTTTGTCTATAGACATACATAAATTGTCACAACCGTCCCTAGATCGATATGTTTGAAAGATATTCGTCATCTAGGACACGTCGCTAAAAACTGTACACCCATCAAACGGTCCATCGCATGCACACTATCCACTTCACCAGAAAGTCCTGAACCCCTTTCTCTACAAGTGAATCTCTAATCGCATTATCAGGTAGACATGTTGAGCGCCACTTATGTGTTGACTATCAATACTTCCTGAAATGTAGATCTAAGTCTCTCAAGTGTCTTCAAGAGAAAAGAAAAATCCTAGGCTTTGAGTGGCTTGCCTCTCCAGCCTTGGATATAAAAATAACCCTAACCTCTCTCCTCCTCTTTGGTAAATACCTACTGCTAAGGCAGTAGAAGAAATAAAGAAAATTATTTTATTTTTTTCTAAAGAAACAAAAATCTATAATTCAAAAAACGAAGAGAAATCAAAGAGAGATATTTGTTAACCATTTATTGTCAATTTCTTTAGATAGTTTTATGATAGAAAAAATTATATATTTTTTAGTTTAATTTAAACTTGAATTTAACTTTTAATTAAATACTTTTGCAATCAAATATTGTTTAACAAGGCCACCTGGTAATTTTTCATTCAAATCTTTGTGAAAAGCTAAATTTAATTAATATGATTTTTTTTTATTTAAGAATATGCTTAATTATTATATTAAACACACTCGACATATAAAAAAAAATATGGAAAAAATAATTCATTTCTGGACAAACTAGAGTAAGAATTAATAAATTTTGGAATTTAAAATAAATCAATAAAAACTATATAAAAGAAATGTAAAATAACAAATTAAAAAAAATAATAATTATTATTAATTAAATAAATACCTTTCCATAAGGTAATTCTGTAATAAAAAACAAATAAAAGAATTCTTCAAGGGTTTTTAAATATAAAAATAAAATAAATAAAATCCAACATACCGTCGTCGTTTGTTTGTTCATCTCTTGGCTCGGTCGTCTTAATGGCATAAAAAAATTTAAAAAAGTAAAAATAGTTTTGCTTTGAGTTTTTCACCGGATTATTATGTGTTACTGGTGGCAGCGGTGGTGGTTAGTAGAGCCACACATTGTATAAGACTGGGAGAATTAAGCAAGAGGCCCGTATCATCACAATGTAAAGTTTGTACACATTTTCCAAAGACCTGCTTTAGATGTGGTCCTTTGCTATTTAACACTGCCTGAGCCATTTGTTCTAAAGTACCAATACGAAAATTATATTTATACATTTCTTGCGTGTATTTCTCTATAAAATCCGTAAACATAGTCCAATCTGATTTCATTATTATGGCGACCAGCACTTCTATAATGGTCGTGGCCGTGGTCAATTCACGTATACGTTTTAATATTTGACGGCAGGCATTAACACGACTGAAACCACATTTAACTAATGACTCATAGATGTCAATTATATACTCCCCATACTCAGGATAACGTTCACAATCATTTACCATATTCAGCAATTTCGAGCGATCATTTTTAGCGGCGTAATAAGCACAAAATACTTTGAAATATATTATAAAAAGTTTGGAATGATTATAGAGAATGCGATAGGCCAAGTTCACCGTGAGTTTGTCTAAAGTATTTAGACATTGATAAACCGTATCACTATCGTGGAATTGATGGGATAATTGACAATGTGTTATGGCAAAACATTTGTCAACCAAATAAGGCAAACAGGTTATACCAAAGACTTTAGATATTAATTCTACTATAGCTGATGTAGTTGTTGCAGGTTCAAGATTTGGTATTAAATTAGTTTCGTTAGGATTTTCTTTAGATTGTATTAAATCATTTTTAACCGTTCTAGTTAGTTTTTCCATATTTGTTAGTAGTTGTATTTTTGGCAAAGTATTTGTTGCTAAAGTGGTATTTTGTTTTGTTTGTGGTGGTTCATTTTCGGAAACTTTTGAAATTGTTGTCGTTGTTATATTTAGTTTTGGTATTTTGAAATGTTTTAAATCTTTGGTTGGTTGAGTAGGATTAGTTTTTTCATTATTTTGTGTTTCCTGTGCTGCTGGTTTTGGAGTACTGGTTGATGTAGTATCATCTATATCAACAATTGAATCCTCAAACCGATCATCATTTGGAGAGCTAGAGAAAATTTATTTTTAGGAAATTGTTATTTAAATTTTGTTTAAAGGAATCAGTAGGAAATTAAAAAAAAGTAAGATAAATTCACGAACAGCAATTTTGTGTTAAAAATGTTTACATATATGATAAAATTAACATAAAACTTACTCAAAACACGAAGTAGCCAATGAAAGAGCATCATCCAAGTCCTCATCAAAATCTAAAGAACCTTCCAATTTAGATTCCAATTCTAAAAGTGTTAAATTTTCTTGATTTATATCAAATTCAACGACTTTGTCCTTTTTCTCCTCAGATTTATCTAAAACAATAAAATATATTTTGGAAATCAAAAATATTCGTAATGTAATTATTGTATTTAATACCTTTTTCAATTTGTTTCTCCATATCCGTCGTTTCATTCTCTGCATTCAATAAAACATCATCCTCATCATCGGTATTGTGGATATTTAAAACAACTTCCTCACTACTTTCATTAGTATTTTTAAAAGAAACACTTAAATTCATGACTTCATTACAAGATTTTTCGTTATTTTTCGTTTCATTGGCTAACAGGATAGAATCATCATTGTAATAACAGCTTATAACGGAATCATTGGAATGTTCATTTTCGTTGTCGGTATATTTAGGTTCTTTATCTATTACTTTATTTTCTCTATTTGCAATTGTTAGATCTTTCATTTCTGCATCTCCGTCTAAGGCAGTTGTTTTGTTGTTGCTTTCAACACTAACACTAAGATTTATTATTTCATTGCTATAACTAGGAGAATTTATCGTTGCATTATCTATGCACACAGCTTCCTTGGAGTTTGTATTATTATTTTCCTTCCCTTGGTTTAGTTTTTTAGTTGCCGTATCTTCATCTTCATTTTCTTGAGCAGTATTTTCTTTTTTATTGTTTAAATCTTGTGATTCCTTTATCTCGTTGTCAATATCCATTGCTTTCCCATCATTAACATCACATGATTTCCCACTAGCGGTATCACTACTATCGGTACTATACAAAATATCATCTTCGGTTAAAGTTATCTTTGCTACCGAAAATACAATATTCTCTTTGGGTTTAGTTTTCGTTTGATGATGAGAAGAGTGCAGCAGAGTTTTATTGTTATTAGATAAACATTTATCGTTTGCATCTTTTGTACTTTTATTTGCTACTTTCTTAGTATTTGCAACATCTGTAGTATTTTGTTCATCAATATTAAGTTTACATGTTTTAGACAAACATTTATCGTCAACATTTTCTGGAGCAGATTCAACTATTCCTGTTACAAAGCTGTTATCTTTAGTGTTGTCATTATTGTCTTGGCTAGTTGGTAAACTTTTATCATTTATCACTTGTTTGTTTTTATTAGATATTTCATTAGTTTCAGATTTGTCACCTTTTTCTGAATTAGTACTTTCGGAACCAGCAGAACATTGCTCTTTTTTGTTAACTTTAACTTGCTGTTCTGCTTTAAAAATTTCATGTTTATTTAAATTATTATTTTGCGAATTTTGTAAATACTTTTCATTTTTATTATTTTCTATGGTTTTTTCTGTATTTTGTAACTCAACTTCCGTAGCAGTTGGGTTTGGATCTATGGAAACTTTTTCGTTTTCACTTTTGTTTAAATTTATAGATTTATCTATTTTAGCATCATTTAACTTTTGAGGATCATCATTATCGGACAATTTAAAATTAACTGACATATCAGAAGACATTGAAATATTTAAATCTATAGAAGAAGTTTTATTAGAACTATCGATTTGAACGGCTAAAGAAGTAGAAGTAGATGAAGAAGGTTCATCGATTGAAGTACTATTTTCTGTATCTTGATTATCCTTTTGTGAGGTTGTATCACAAATGTTGTTTTGCTGTTAAATATTTATATTTTTTAAAAAGTATAAAATTGATATTAAGATTAAAAAATTACCTTTTGATTTGATGATTCATACATTGTTGAATTTTCTACTCTACAGTGATCAAATACACTTTCATTTAAATTATCATTCGAAATAAATCCACTGCTTATATTATCTAAAAATTGATTATCTGGACAGATATCTAATAACTTATTGAAAATTTCTGTAGTTGATTGATCTGAAAAGTGTAAGTTAGTTTCTATAGATGAGTTTACCGCTGACATGGTGACATAATTGGAATCTTCGTTATTTGTGGAATTATTGTAAATGAGTTTATCTACAAAATAATATGAATTTATTTTTTAATTTTGTAGTTTATAAGTGATATGTTATATAGAAAGATACGTGGATTGATATATAGATAGATAGATAGATAGATAGATAGATAGATAGATAGATAGATAGATAGATAGATAGATAGATAGATAGATAGATAGATAGATAGATAGATAGATAGATAGATAGATAGATAGATAGATAGATAGATAGATAGATAGATAGATAGATAGATACATAGATAGATACATAGATAGATACATAGATAGATAGATAGATAGATAGATAGATAGATAGATATATAGATAGATAGATAGATAGATAGATAGATAGATAGATAGATAGATAGATAGATAGATAGATAGATAAATAAATAAATAGATAGATAGATAGATAGATAGATAGATAGATAGATAGATAGATAGATAGATAGATAGATAGATAGATAGATAGATAGATAGATAGATAGATAGATAGATAGATAGATAGATAGATAGATAGATAGATAGATAGATAAATAAATAAATAGATAAATAGATAAATAAACATTTTTACACGAGTTTGATATTACGAAGATAAAAACTTCTCTACTTCCCAATTTTCTCTTCAAATTACCTGTTAAGTTTTCCGCTTCTTTACTACTTGCTGCTGTTGTATTTTCCACCAACTGTGCCAAATCGGTTGCATCAAAATCCAATAATGGCATATCCAAAGCCGCTTTAAACGATTTACTATTATCATGATCATAAGATAATGTTGGAACATCCACAGCACCCTTTTTCATTGCCTCCGTAGAGTATTCAAAATCATTTTGTTCTATAAGACGACGTATAAAATCCTCATCTTGCTTATCAATAGTAACATGATTATTTTCGGTAATTTGTTTCTTGGCATTTGTACTTTTTGCTGATAAATCCAATGGCATACAATCATCCTCTTCGACTAAGCAAGAATTCTCCAAGTTATTAGATGTTTGATTAAGATTTAATACCTCGCTAGAGATAATATTGTTGTTGGGCTTTGGTTTAATACTAAGATCTAAAACATCTTTATGGGTGTGAGCTGGTGGTGGTCCAGTTGGACTAATAATATTATTTGGTAAATTGGGAATTTGTATATTTATAACGGGTACATATGAAGTTTGTATGGTTTGTTGTATTGGACGTGTAGGAGGTGCTTGAGGTAGATTTTTATTTTGAAGTCCTAGATTTGCTATGGGCAGTGGTATTGATATGGGCAAGCTGTTGTTATTCTCTAGAACCCGGGCAATAACATTATTACCAGAGTCGCTACTATTGTCAATGTAATTTACCTAGAGAAGGAAAATATTGATTTTTTTTAAATCCTAACGGTAAAAATTTTCTTTATAACAGTGTTATTGGGAAATCAATGACACGTGAACATTTGTATATAAGTAGAAATATGTAACCGATTATAGCAAATAGGCTAGGTTTATTTGGAAATAAATTAAATTAAACATTTTTCTATAGAACATGTTGTTTCTAAGTTTTTATATAGAAAAATTTGTGTATAACAGTTTATTCTATAGAACATATAGAATAATGTATATAATGCTTTCTCCTATAGAAAAAAGTATTTTTCTATAGAAAAGATTAGTATAACAGTTTTTTCTATATAAAAAGTTGCATTAATTCTGTATAAAAACGTATGTTTAACAGTATTTTATATACAAATTTCTGTATAACAAGTTTTTTATAGAAGAATTTTTTATTACAATTTCTATTTAACCGTTTTTTGTATAGAAAAATTTGTGTATAACAGTTTTATCTATATAAACATTCGAGTATTAAAGTTGTATTTATAGAAATATTTGCAAAACAACATTTCCCATAACAAATGACTTCGTTTTTTAATTTTCAAAATTTATTTTTTATATGAGAATAAAGGGCGTTCCAAAAAGTGACACGCTAGTTAATCAACTGCAATTCACTTTTAATTCGACAGCCCCTATTCCCATTTTTACAAAAATTACGCACTGGATATGCAAAGCCATACCCCACTGGAGCATTTGAACTATTCACATTAACAATAAAAAACATCGAAAATAATCGAATGTTTCTGCTAATGCTTTAAATTCAATAGCAATGCTGCAATGCGTCTGCACGCAGAGTTTTAAGTAAAACTCTGTTTTAAGAATTGTGTCTTGTGCAAAGACGAGCACCCTTTTTAAAGGCATATGGGAAAAATTCCATTATTTATACCACGAATTGTATAAACTGTATGAGAATTAAGAAAAAAAAAACACATACTTTTTAACCCAGCAAACAAAAAGGTTGAGTTTTCGAAAAACTTGTGTTGTTATTTAACATAAAGTGTAGCTTTAAAACAGCGTTTAAATCTATAGTATGTTATATTCAAATATGGGTTGATTTATGTTATTACGACTAACATTTTTATGTGTTAACACCTTTTTAAAACTTGTATGCTAAGAAAAATATTTGATTTCAAGTTGGCTGATTATTCAGTTTATTATCTGTATGTTTAGTGGGTATATACAACTTAAAGAGTGGAGTTGCCATTATGTTGGTAATTAAACTGGAGGTTTTTTTATTTTCCAAAAATCCACAATGAATCAAAAATATTTCAGTTTAAAAAATAAAATATAAATTTGATAAAAAAATATACGATTTTGTATGTTAATGAAGTAACCTAAACATAAAACTGTAAAACATACTATACAAATGACTGATCGAAATTTAAAATTGAACCGATTTTTTTTTTAATCTGACATGTCTAAGAATCTTCTATAGCCATAATCTGGGAGGTTAACATAAATAACATAATTTTTATTTGATATATGTCCAATCTAAAAATTTTGGTTTAATAGAAAATTTTGAAAATTTCTTATTTCTTAAATTCTTTCCTATTCAATAAATAAATCAAATAAACTGTATAAATACTTACAAAATCCTGAAAAGGAGCATTCATATCGTCCTGATTTAGCTGTCTGGTATCAACCGACATACCATTGGTAGCAACCAATTGACAAGGACCACCATTAGCCCAATCACCATCAATATAATACGTTATAGGCTGCTGCTGCTGTTGAGAATTTTGTTGTTCATGTTGTTGCTGTTGTGGTGCAAGTTGATCAATAACTTCAAAATTATGGGTAGTTGAAGAAACTAAAGGCTGTGAACGGGTTGATGAAGCGGCTGGGGTAGTTGAACCTGGCAACAGCTCACAATCGTTAGCAAAAAACTCTACATATTTAGCCAAATTACTCTTAGTGGGTGGTTGTGGTTGTAGATCATCAGAAGCGTTTTTCTTTTTCGGTTTACGTCCTCTTTTTTTGGGAGGTTCATCATTTGGCTGTTGCTGTTCGTTTGTACGTTTAGAATTTTTACGCGGCTTTTTTTGTGAACTACTAGTACTACAGACAGTATCAACTATAATATTTGAATTTTGGGAAAACGTTAACTCTTGTGAAGACTGTGAGTAGTTCACGAAATTATCATTTCCTATAGGATCATAATTGTCTATAATATTATTGTTAATATTTTCCAAAGCATTGGTGGCCTGAAGAGTCTCATCATTGCAAGCTTCAGCCATAACATCTTGTATCAGCTGTGACAATTCCAATTCCTGTTCTTGATGTGTCAATTGCTCGACAACCGTGGAGGGCAGAGATTTCACCTGTTTTTTACGTGATTTTGTTGATTTGGTGGCCGTATGAGTAATGGAAGCTTTCTGCTGCTGTTGTTTAATTTCATTGGCCCGATAATCGAAAACTTTACGGGCAAAATTCAAACTATCTAAAATAATATAATGAACATTACCACGATGTAAAGAGGGAATTTTTATATGCAACGTAGGTGTTGTATCCACTTCTTCCTGTTCCAATAACATTTCTTCACTATGAAATGCCACCCCCGAGGTAGTGACCGTGTGTTCCTGTTTATTATGTAATTTGGTAGTGCGTTTGTTGTGCGAATGTGAGGTAGAAGCTGAGCTACTGAAACTTTTATAGCTTAGTTTTCTTTCTCTAGGTTTCCGGCGCAATGCCAGCGGTAAAAATGAATCACTATGTTCCGAAGTATCAGCCAGCTGCGTTTCAATTGATTTCATTTTACCCTTTTTAGCTATTCCTATTTTTTGTATCTCTGTTTGTCTTTGTTTAGCCATTATATTACTCAATGTTTCGTCATCATCACTGGAGTCGGAAGATAAATTTAACTTTACTTCCTCATTGTCTTTTAATTCATTTTGGTGGCGTGACAATTGCAGTTCCTTGTCCTTGGGCATTAAAATATCTTGTAATAACATTAGTCTCTGCTTCAGACTTATCATTAAACTCTCACATTCTGCATCCATACGTTGAATTCGGACCACGGCTTTAGACTCTATTAACTGATTGCGCAGACTATTACTTACATTTTGTCTCTGCTCCGTAGACTTAAGGGAGGGTTTATAGTAAAAGATTTGCTCTTCCAAGCGTTCCAAATCCTTTATAGTAGTAGTACAATCCATTATTGTTGAGACTTACGAAATTTACACATAAACTTTTTTTGCAAACATTTCAAAATGGCCGTGTTGTGGAATGTTTTTCACATAGTTTTGCAATATTTGTTAACTTTGTTTGGAATATGCACTTTTATGTTTAGCTTTAACTATAATATATTTATTTTCTCTAAAAATCTTCTAATGTATTCCATTTAATTACTTCGTTTAACTATTTTTTTATTATATTAGCGCGTGTTGCTCGAGAAATATGAAACCGTTATAATCACAAAAAAAATCGACGCGACTACTTAGTTGCCAGATGTACAACAAATGTAGTGGTCATTTTAGCCGCCAAGTTATCTTTTTTATTCATTTTAGGAATATATTTAAATTCCTATATATTTATTTATTAATTGGTAAAATTATTGTAAATTTACTTAAATAAATTAAAAAAACCTATGTGCAAACTAATTAAATCCATAGTGTAATGTAAAACGTAATAGTTGTTTAAGCTCTTTTACTAATTAAAATCTGGCCACACGGATTTTTATCAGAAGTGCTAGTGCAACATAACCAGAGTTGCCAATTTTTGTTAGTTTATATTTCAAGAGAGATTCGTAAGCTTAAGAGGATTTAAACTTTAAATTGGGTATTTTTACATAATTCCTTCGAGAAATGTTTGCGAAGTTTTTAAAGGAACTGTTATAACTAAAATGTTTTATAGAAAATTATTTTTCTTTAACAAAAAACTGTTATACCAATAATTTTTCACATAATTTCTTTAAAAAAATCAAATTTTTCTATAGCAAAATTGTTATACATAAATTATTCTATATGAAACTGTTATACAGATTTTTTTCTGTAGAAAAAACTGTTATACATAATTTTTTTATGGAAAAATTTTTTATAAACAATTTTTTTTAACTGTTATACACAAGTCTTTCTGTAAAAAAACTTTTACACAAATTTAAAAAAAACTGCTTTATGCAAATTTTTCTATAGAAAAAAACTCTTCGAAAATTTTTCTATAGAAATTGTTATTCACAAAATGTTCTATAAAATATCCTAAAAGGAATAACTGTACATACAAATTATTCTATAGAAAAAACTCTTGTACATATTTTTCTATAAAATACTGTTATATAGAAACATTTTTAAAGAAAAAATTTTTATTTGGCATTTTTTATAAAGATACAAATTTTTATTGACTTATTATGTTATTAATTATTATTATTAAATCTTTATTAGTATTTAGTATACTTTATCAATTGCAAATACAATATAACAAATTACATAATATATTTTTTATTAAAAAAGAACAATATTAAACAATTTTTATAAAAATCAATCTTTTTCCAAACTGGCAACACAAAGTTTATGGTCATAAAACGAACATGTAGCCATATAGAGCGTTTCTTCATTTTCGTCCGCATTTAAACACCAATCAGCTCCATAACAAATACTCTTGTGTTCGTAATATTCACCAACTAATTTCGGTGCAGCCACTTCATCCATCTCAACCACACTAAAGTTATGATACATACAGGCAGCCAATATTAAATCTTTGTTTAAAGGATGAGATTTTAAACGCCATATGCCACCGGATAGATTAATTTCACCCAGCGGTTGTTTCATGGCACGTGTATCAAAAATGCGTAAATTTTCATCATAGCTGCCGGTCAATAGAATATGTTCTCGCTTCGGATGACTTAGAAGAGAAGTAACACCGGCCATATGGGATTTGTTGAGTAAAACTCTGCTTTCCATGCGTAAATCGTAGGCGTGCAGAAATGTATCATCACCACCAGTGTAGACACGATTTTTATCCCACTTATCGAAGGCACATATCCAAGCTTCAAAATTATGTGCCGGCCATGTACGTAAATTAGTAAGTTTTCTTTCATCCGACCAGCTTAACAAACTGATGGCACCTTTTGAATCGGAAGCTAAAATATGTTTTGTATTATTTTTCTCAATTTGACCCCAATCTAGAGATAAAGCCAATAGATTATCATCGTCCGAGTTTAAATCCAGTGAGTGCAGTAGCTTTAATTTGACATTATCCAAAGCATAAACATCAATTTGTCCCAAAGCATTGGCGGTGGCCAAAAGGGGCAAATCATTTTGACTATTCTTCAACCATTTCATATCGAGTATGGCTGCCGTTTCTAAACGATCCAATTCTTTTAGAGATTTTGTTATACGATCAAATTTGTATAGAAATATACGACCCTTGCGTCGACATGGTGGTGGTGCAGCAGAATCCGCTTCTTTGTTTTCTTCCAGTTGATAGGTGCCACAAACAAAGTAATTGTTATAGTCAGGATGCGGACACCATTCTATGGAATCGGCCGAATATTCCGTGTCAATGGTATGGAGTGTTTTTATTTTAAACATCTTCATTTAAAGCTAAAATGAAATACAAGAAATTAAGTGAAATTTTTCTATTATACACACATTTTTCTATAGAGAAAACTGTTTTACACAAATTGTCCGAGATAAACAAAACTGTTATACACAAAGTGTTTATAGAAAAACTTTTCTTTAAAAAAACTTATATATACAAAATTTTCTTTATAAAAAAACTGTTATATAAATATTTTTTATGGAAAAGCTGTTATACAGGTATTTTTCTAGAGAAAAAACTGTTATACCCAAATGTTTCTATACAAAAAAGTTGTATAGAAATTATTATATAAAATTCTTATAAAAAAAATGTTACAAAAAAAAAACTATTATAAAAAATTTTTCTACTGAATAAACTGTTATAAAAATTTTTATCTATAGAAAAATGTATAATACACAAATGTTTCTATAAAAAAAAGTGTTAAACACAAATGTTTCTATAGAAAAAACTGTTATACACAGATTTTTCTCTAAAAACTGTTATAAACAAATTTTTCTATAGAAAACTTTTATACAGAAGTTTTATGTAGAAAAACTGTTTTATAAAATTTTTTCTATAACTGTTATACACAAATTTATCTATAGAAATACTGCTATACACAAATTTTTCTATAGAAATAGTGGTATAAACAATTTTTTTCTATAGAAAAAACTGTTATACACAAATTTTTCTACAGAAAAAACTGTTATACACAATTTTTTCTTTAGAAAAAACTGTTATACACAAATTGTTCTTTAGAAAATAGTTTTATACACAAAAAATGTGTTATACACAAATTGTTCTTTAGAAGAAAGTGTTATACACAAATGCTTCTTTAGAAGAAAGTGTTATACACAAATGCTTCTTTAGAAGAAAGTGTTATACAAAAAAATTTTCATTAGAAAAAAGTGTTATACACAATTTTTTCATTAGAAAAAATTGTTATAGACAAATTTTTCTTTAGAAAAAACTGGCATACGCAATTTTCCTTAGAAAAAACTTTTATAAACAATTTTTTCTTTAGAAACAAATTTTCCTTCAGAAAAGGCTGTTAAAATCAAATTTTTCTTTAGAAAAAGAGTGAAATTTTTCTATAGAAAAGTGTTATACATAAATGGTTCTATAGAAAAACTGTTATACTTAAAATTTACTTAAGAAAACACTGTCTTACACAAATGTTTCTATAGAAAAACTGTTAAACTTAAATTTTTCTAAAGAAAAACTATTATATACAAATGTTTCTATAGAAAAACTGTTATACTTAAATTTTTCTTCAGAAAAAACTGTTATACACTGCTTTTATATAGATAATTTTCGAATATTTTTCTTTTAATAGAAAATTGTTCAACAACTTCTTTTTTATAGAAAATTTTGCAAAAATTTCCCTTTTTAAATTTTTCATTAGAAGAAAGTGTTATACACAATTTTTTCATTAAAAAAAATGTTATAGAAAAATTTTTCTTTAGCAAAACTGGTATACACAATTTTCCTTAGAAAAAACTTTTATATACAATTTTTTCTTTAGAAAAAACTGTTATACACAAATTCTTTCTTTAGAAAAAACCGTTAGACACAAATTTTCCTTCAGAAAAGGCTGTTAAAATCAAATTTTTCTTTAGAAAAAGAGTGAAATTTTTCTATAGAAAAGTGTTATACATAAATGTTTCTATAGAAAAACTGTTATACTTAAACTTTGATTAAGAAAACACTGTTTTACACAAATGTTTCTATAGAAAAACTGTTATACTTAAATTTTTCTTCAGAAAAAACTGTTATACACTCCTCTTATATAGATAATTTTCGAATATTTTTCTTTTTATAGAAAATTGTTCGACAACTTTTCTTTTTATAGAAAATTTTGTAAAAATTACCCTTTTTAAATATTTTTTGAAAATTTATTTTTTTAATAATTCCAATTAAAAAAATTTCCTTTTTTGTTTTTTACTACTTTAAAAAATTATTGACTTTATTATTACGTTTCTTTTTTTGTTTTGTTGTTTAGTTTTTAAATCATACATATAATATGTTTTTGTTTTTATAATGTATACAGTATATTAAATTATGAATATATAATAATATATATATATATATTGTGTTGTTGTATATATCATTATTATTTCTTTAAATATATGTATGTATATGCATGTTGTATGTATATTTTATATATTTATATATATATATAAGTTTTATGTATATATGTTATGTATACTAATATTATTTTTTATATGTTTTATTATTTATTTTTTGTTATTACACAGTAATATTAGCTTAATAGTTATTTATGTTTATAATAGTTTTACAATCTTAGGACATTATTATTAATATTAATATGTGTGGTTTTTTGATGTTTTCTTTTTTTTTATTATTTTATTTATATAAGTATAAGTATATAAATTAGTTTTTTGCTTACTACAAATATTATGTATACTTTCTACATACACTGATTAATTTTTTAAAAAATAAAATTGGAAATATATAAAATATAAAAAAAAAAATTCAACCAAACAAATAGAAATTTTTAAAAATTTTAACACAAAATTTAAAATTTGTTCATAATAATGTTAACGATGACAAAAATTAAAGTTATATAAATTTAAACAAAAGTATAACTATGTATGATGTTATTTAATATTATTACTTTTTTGTTTTGTTTACTGGTATACTACAAAATTAGTGTTATTAATTATATAAATATATATTTTGTTGGTTGTGTTAAATTATTATTTTTTTATTTTTATTTTTAAAATACATATTATGTAATGTATGCTTTTGTTGTATTACTACTACGGCATCTAATTGTTATATTTTATGTAGTATTTATGTTATTTATTCTATATGTATTTATTAATAGGATTATGCTGTTTTGTGTCTATGTGTTTCTTTTCTTTTTGTTTTTTATTAATTAATTTGCTTTCTCAATTATTTATTTATATTTTTATATATGGTGTATGTTTTACTTTTCTTATAGGTCTTGGTTTTACTCTTAACAAATTTTATTTTATATTTTTTTATGAATAATTTTTCTTATTAAATGTGTGATTTTTTTAATATTTTTTTTTTTGTAACTAAGTTTTTTTTTTAGTTTTATATGCGTGTGTGTTTGTGTAAGAAGGTTTAGATATTGTATAAAAAGTTTGCTGCAAGTTTGAAGATTTTATTCGGTATATAGATCAGTTGTGAAATGATGATTTCATTTTGGTATATAAACTCTTTGCAAACTAAAAATATTCACTTTTTTAATAGAGAAATAAAGATTTTTTTAAAAACTTTAAACTATTTTCACAGAATTATTTAGCATTTTAAATTTTTTTTGAACTTAGTATCTGATTTTCGAATATCACTATATTTTGAAACTACATGCTTAAAAAATTTATGACAATTTTGAAATTTTTTCTCAAAATTTTTAAGTTCGAAATTAAAAAATAAAAGAAATTTGGACTCAAATAACAATAAAATCGTATTTTTATGAATCCTCATGAATTGGAAATTTTTTCGAACTTAACATCGAATTTTCGATTATCACTTTAAAAGCCTATATTTTGATACTACTTTAAAAATCCTTCAAAAATTTATTTTTGAAAATTTTTAAATTTGAAATTGAAAAATAAAAAAACTGAAATACATAATATTAAAATCGTATTTTTATGAATCCTCATAAAATGGAGATTATTTTAACGCTTTAAAATTTTTTCGAACTTAACAGCGAATTTTCGAAATTAATTTCGAATATTCGTACACCACTTTAAAAGCCTATATATTGAAGCTACTCTAAAAATCCTTAAAAAAAATTATGAAATTTTCAAAATTTTTTAGATTGTTATTTAAAAAATTGGACTAAATTCAAAATTTTTAAGTTTGAAATTGAAATTTTTAAAAAAATTTAACTAATATTGAACAAAAATTCGACAAATAAAAATAAATATAAATTTTTCTCCAATTTGTAACTTTTACGCAACAAAAAGTCGAAAATTTTTAAAAATTTTACATTTTCCCTAATAATAAATAAATTTAGTTTTGAAAAAACAATCTACATACCATTTATAAAATTATATAATAATCATCATCAACAACTATGATCAGTTAATGTGGTGGTGAGTGAGTGAGGGTGATCTTTAAATAATGTTCTGAATAAAATAAGATTTAAATTATTTTGTTTTCATGACAATTATGGGTTCAAGAATTTTTAACATATCATTATTTTCCGGTTGACCATTATTGTATTCTTTGTTGTTGCCTTTTATGAAATTATTATTGTTGTGGTTGTTGTTCATTTGAAGTAGTATCGGAGTTTGACCTGGAAGTAACATACGTTGTTGTGTTTGCTGATGTTGCATTTGTAACAATTGTTGCTGCTGTTGTTGTTGTTGTTGCTGTGCCTGTTGCTGCTGCTGTTGTTGTTGTTGCGCCTGTTGTTGCTGCTGCTGTTGCAGTTGTTCCTCACTATTTGAAGCACTTTCCTGTGATATACTACCGCCGCTAACACTATTATTGCCACCACCATCGTTAGGTTTTGTTTCATAGCCACCATTTGTAGAAGCACCCAGTGACTGTTCATAGATGCCCGATGGAGTGGTGGAACCACCATTTTCGGATTTAGAGCGAAAGTGAGGTGTATGAGTTCGTAGGCGACGCATTCGTGCATATTCGGCTTGTCGTGAGAGACGTATCTTTTTCTCTTCGGGCGTTTCGGTTGCACGTATTTCGGCTCGTTTGAGACGGGCCCGTTCACTTAGTTTCTGTAGACGTACTACTCGTTGTTCGGGTGTTTCGTTAGCTCGCAGTGCTCTCTGATGGGCAGCCATTTTGTCGAGTCGTTTGCGTTTCTCATCATCACTTTCGTATTTGAGTTTACCATTGCTGCGTATAATGTTGGGGGAGGAATGTTCTTGTTGTTGTTGCTGCTGCTGCTGTAGGTTCGGTTGCAATATTTGCTGCTGTTGTTGCTGGTTCTGCTGTTGTTGTTGTTGTAATTGTGTGTTTAATTGTTGATATTGTTGACCACGTCCGCGGCGCTGAGCATATTGTGGAGATGCTAGCATTTGATTGATCTCCTGTTCTAGCAAAGCACTCATTTTTTGTTGCTGCTCTTGCTGCTGAAGTACATCGTCCTGCGACGCATCTTTATTTGAGCTAAACAGCTTTCTAGGACGACCGCGGACCGCTTTTGGAAAATCCTGTATTACATGTTGTTGTTGGCTGGCTGTAGGTACACTCATTTGGTTGGGCAGTAAGGTTGACAGGTTAAGGTTAAGGATGGGGGAATAAAGAAAACAGGATTTCAACGAAAAAAACAAACAAAGAACAAAATTAATTGCAAAATTATCAATAGGATCCTTTAAGTTTTCTTTATTCAAATAAAAATAAGAAAAAGAAAAACTTATTTTCTCCTACCCGCAGCATTTGTTGGTGGCGAGGATCCAACTGCATTTGTGGCCGTTGAAAAGTGTACTGGCGTAAATGGGGGCGGCACCGTATTCGGCGCTATGCCCAGCTGAAAGCCATTATGATACATAGGATAATAGGCGGCTGTTTGGGTTGGTGTATTTGGCGGGGTTGTTACCGATACCGTTGAGTTGGCTGCAGCTGCCGGAAAGGTTGCCAAATAGGGAAATTGATTGTAGAGCGGTGTTGGGGGATTTTGTATTTGTGGATGTGTAGTTTTTACTTTTGATTCACTTTTTTCGTTCTGTGTTCCTCCACCTGTTCCGGTTGGGACTCCAACAGACCCGCTGTTGTTATTGTTGCCGCTGCTACTGCTGCTCGCTGTATTATTTGTCTGGAAAAAAACATTGTCCATTTCTTAGACTACTGTGGAAGTGGATGTGTTTGTCGTTGGGTAAAGAAAAATCTTAATTACACATACAACAAATAGCAAATGATTTCAAATGAAGAATCATCATAACTCTATTATGCAAATACGAGAGTTAGATAGAAAAAATACAATTTATATTTATTGTTTAGTATTGTAATTGAAAAGTTTCTTTTTTTTTTGTTCGAGTATTACATCTATATATTCAATAGATTTCATGGTAAACTACCGTTTACTCTCTATTTGATTAGTCGTCGTAGACATTTGGTTTTTCTTACATTTTTCTTTAATTTTCCTAAAGGAGCTTTAAGTGGAATATAAATATTAAAAAAGTTTTCTTATAATATAAACAACATTAAGAGTATTTAAAGATTTAACAAAAAATAATAAGAAAAAATCAACACAAAAGGAAAGAAACATGTTTTTAGCACTCACTCACATATTAAAGGTTAGTCGCCGAAATAACAGCAAGAGCCCATTTTTCAATTGTCAGCAAATCGAGGGGCGCAGATATTTATTTTATATATCGACAGAAATAAACACAATATTTAGACGAAAAAGGTCGACGAGAAAACAAAAAGTCAAAGATCATGGCGCAAACTCCAAGTACGGGGATAAAATAGTTAACTCACTGAAAACAAAAAATCTAATCTATAAGCCTCAACAACTTCTGGAGCAGTTTTGAAAATATTCGCATACTATTCCTTGCAGTAACTGAGGCTTTGAGGTGTAGGTATGTTTTTTTGTAGTTTAATAATTATTGGTTAATTTAGATTCGGTTCCATTTTTAGAGAAATCATTTGCTATTTCTTCGTTCCATTCATCATCATTACACAACACACACACATTTCATATCATATCAAAAGTAATCGAATTCATTTAGGGTTTTCGTTTTCATGTTGCAGAAGCAGAAAACACTGTTAGTTCGACACTATACCAACCTGTTGAAGCTCCGGCTTCTTAGCATACTTATTCTGATATAATTCTAGCGAACTCGCGATTGTGCTGAAGTGAGGAACATTAGCTGCTGCTACATTTGGCAGCTTGGCCTTTTGTGAGGCCTCATCGTACAGCTGTTGCTGAAAAAGATTCGACGTCTCCGATTCGAGGAGATTTGCAGCTGCCGACTGTTGTTGCGGAGTGCTAAAACGATTCTGTTGATTGTTGGTGGATTGCTGAGATTGCGGCTGCTGTGTTTGAGGTTCCTGCTTGAGGAGGGCAGCACTGCCTGTGCGTAAAGTGGCTGGATTGATGAACATGTTCTGATAGTATTCAATGGGATTGGCTGCCAGGGCGGCAGCTTGCTGATATGATGCTGTTAGCTGTTGTTGGTCATCTTGGGCGCCGCCGGCAGTTTGTCGGGATAGTTCATCGTTTCCGGTCGGTGTTGCCGAGTTTGTTCCTGCTGCTCCCGTTGCTGCTGTTCCGCCGCCTGCTGCTGTTGAAGGTGGTGCCTGATGGTTTAGATTTAAAGAGTCGTTATTATTACAATTTATTGAAGCGCTTTGCGTCGTATTCGAATTCTGATTCGAATTCGGAGTCTGCGCCGCGCCGTGTTTTATTATTTTTTTCTTTTCTCTGACCTTTCTCGCATACTCATTGAGTTTTTTCAGTCGCTCCTTACGCTGCTCGGGGGATTCACTGGCAATACGCTGCCGGGCTCTGGCTGCCATTTCGGCGAGACGAATTTTCCTTTGCTCCGGTGTTTCATTGGCTCGATACATACGCATCCGTTCGGCAAGTTTTTGCAGTCGTTTAGCCCTTTGATCTGGCGATTCCATGGCGCGACGCAGACGCTGCCGTGCGGCGTTACGTACTAAACGCATGGCTCGTTCCATTTCGTTTTCATTCTGACGACGCATTCGATTGGCTTCGGCATTGCGTGCCAGCCGCTTGCGATATTCATCTTCGGTCTCACGATTGCGTCGTTCTCGCATTCTCTCGGCATTGCGTGCCAAACGACGAGCTCGAGCCTCTGGACTTTCGTTCCAACGATGACGGACGGCCGATGAGGTGGACGATGTCACTGACGCCGGCCCCAACGAAGTGGTGTTCGCGGTGGTTCCTGCTCCAGCACCACTTGCAGTGCCGCCGCTGTTGTTGGTAATGGGCGTGGGTAGGGGTGGTTGTTTGAGGGACAAAGGCTGCGGATAAGTGACCGCTGCGGCCAACTGCAATTGTTGTTGCTGCTGTAGTTGCAATTGATCTTGCTGCTGCTGTTGTTGTTGCTGTTGTTGCTGCTGTTGTGAGGCTAAATGCTGTTGCAATTGATGCTGCTGTAAATGATGCTGTTGCAGTTGTTGTTGCTGCTGCTGATGCTGCTGTTGGAGTTGTAATTGTTGCAGTTGCTGTTGATGATGCGACAACGGTACCAGCAATGTTGAGGGATGATCGATGAGTAGGCGGGCATTCGAGCCATTGAGAGCTAGCAAATTTGTGGCATATTGTTGATGATGATGTTGTTGTTGCTGATGCTGTAAATGTTGCTGTTCTAATGATGGCTCTACTTTTATCCCATTGGGACCAGATTCCATTATTTTCTACACCGGACACGCACTCACACTACACACAAATGCAATCAGGAACAATTGTTGTTGCTGCAGTTAAATATTGTTGGGTTAGTAGCTGCTGCTGCTGCTCTTGTTGCTATTATTGCTACTTGCAAGTAGTCAAGCGTAAAAATTTTACGAAGTAGCAACAATGATGAAGACAGCGAAGGCAAAGTCAACGAAGAAGAAGACGACGACGATAATGATGAAAGTGGTGCAAGTAATAAAGTTTTCTTCTTTTTATTCCACATTGAAAACAGGAAAAAGTGTTCAACACTTTTTGTAACTCCCCCAGACTTCTTATTTCATTTGTATTTCATACAAAAGTTATTTAAGAAAATTAAAAAAAAAAAGAAAATATACATATACAAAAATTCACTTTATTTTTTGTCTATTTTTATTTTGTTCTCCTTTTTCTATGCCTTTTCTTTGCTTTTCGTTCGATTTTCCACTTACAACCACACTGATGTCACTTTACAATGGTTACAATAACAAAAAACACAAACCATCAGAAAAATAAAATTGCGCTTTCACATCAGTTTTTGACGTTTCCATTTGATTTGTCAGTGTTTTTTTATTCTTCTTTTCGTCTGCTTCTTCTTCTTAGTCTTGCTATTCTCCGTTGTTTGCTGCGAGTTTTTGTATTTTGTTTCTTCGTTTGTCTGTACGTTTTTCGTATTATTATGTATGTATGTACGAAGTATGTGAGTGTGAGAAAATTCCAATGTCATCTACATGGCATTGGAAATGACCACAAACAGAATTTTTCAACGCTTATATGTATTGCCCAACTTCCAATCGATTTTTCACATGATTTTTTCGCTTCTTTTTTTTTTTTTCTTTAATATAGAAGAGAATTATATTTTTATAAAAAATATATTATTATTTATTTTAAGAATTTCCCTTGTTAATTGTTTATACTTAATACAATTTGTGTAACAACAACGTGTTGTTAAAGTTGCGTTTTTTACGTTTTTTTTCGCTCTCTTAATGTTTGCCTTATATAGTGTTTTTGTATTTGTTGTCTCTCCCTTGTTGTAGATTTTTTTTATAGTTAAAAAATTTAATTATTTATTGTTTTCTTTCTTGTTTTTTGGTGTTAATTTTATTATCACGTGTTTTATATATAGAAAAATATTATAAACAGTAATTTTTATTTTGTTTTCTTTTAATTAAAAAAATATTATTTTGCACAAATATACGAACACCAACACTCTGTCTCCACACAAAAAATGTAAATAAGTTCTTATTGGAAAGCGGTGTATTTAACGTGAATTGGAAAGAGTAAAATAATACACCGAGTGTAAATGGTTAGTAAAATGTTTGGATTTTTTTGGGAATTTGCGAAAAATCAAATGCGCGAAGTTTTGGAAAAAATTTAATATGATAATTATTAATTTTTCAAATGGTGTTTGTTGTAAACCTTTTTATTTAGGCCATTCTTTTTAACCATGTTTAGACTATATGTTGATAGAGGACAATATTTCCTTTTTATCGTATAAAAATACGATATTGTAAAAAAATGTAATTAAAAAGTAGTTTTAATTAAAAATTTAGTTTAAAATTACACAGGCCAACAAAATTTGAAAAAGATCGAGACCCCCCTGAATCCATATATGACCTCAAAATATCTCCATCACACCAAGTTATCCAGATATAGAGTCATAAAAGTTGGTCGTCTCTAAAATAATGGTTTAACCTCTGTTATGTCTAGTTGATACATCGGCAAAAATATCATCCTGGAATCGGGTTTTTTCGATTTTGGTCTCTAAGTTAAAAATTCGTTGGCCTGTGTTATTTTTTTTTCTACTGTGCATTTTTAACCCTTTAGGCAGTAGTACATTTTAATCCTTTAGCCAGTAGATTTTCTTTCAGTGTATTTACTTACAAACAAAAAACTTGTTTACCATCATCAATAATAGCAGTAATGATACAGAAAAAATGCTTTGGCTATGTGTATGTATGTATGTGCGTATTTCATTTTCAAAAAAGGATTAACTTCCAATACACAGCCAGACATACTCATTCCAATATATAAAACATACATACACTCACTCTCTCTTTCTCACATTTATAATGAACAAATTCAAACCCAGTAGAAATATTTAACGTATGTTATCCCATAGTAATAACCTTTTAAAGTTAATTGTATGTCAAAGTGGGTGGGGGTAAAAATCAATACAATTGCTAGATGTTTTTTTTTTTTTTTTGGAAAAGAAAATCTTTAGATTGCAAAAGATTTTAAGTAAAATTTAAGTAAAGGAATTTGTAGTTTTTTTAATAAAATTTTCTATTTTGGAATTCTAAACTTTGTCCTTAGGCCAGAATATTAAAGCTTCGTTTAGGGGCTATATTTAACTATCAAGGAAAAGAAGAAAACGGTCCTACAGCAATCTAAAATTTAAAAAATGGCGACTGACTCGAATTATTGTTGACACCTAGACCAGTTGGCATTACATTGTACATACATATGATAGGTTTCCTTTTGAAGATTAATAGACTAAAGAGATGCTGAAAGAAATAGCAAGCACAGGGTGGAAATTTGATCGAAAAGGAAGTGACACTGAGGAAAAACTTCCAATTTGGACTGAGTTGCGTTAAACTCGAATCTGAACTCGATTATTGTTGACACCTAGGCGGCAGTGAAATATTAAACCGTCCGTTGAAGTTTACGGAGGACTGTAAAAGGTTCTTGGCATTATATACAATTGGGATTTGATAGTTTCCTAGCGATAGTTAATAGCAAGTAAGGGATGGGCACTTGACCTAAAAACTGTGATTCAAAACTTTCAAATTGTGTCAATAACATATCTACGAAAGAATGTATGTATATTGGAACCAAAGGATGGGAAGCAATATGCCTAAAGCTCTATTTTAATATTTTAGTACCCGATTTCTCGAAAACTTGAACTACTGAGTTTATTATAGGATTCAGTGTAGCCCAATCATGGTCTCTGGGTAAAAAATGTGTTAAGTCTGTTTTAAATTCTTGTCTATAACTCCTCATTACACAGGTCAACAAATTTTTAACGCAAATACCAAGGTATACTTTTCTAAAGGATTGAGCAGCACATAATACGTATCAGAATTTGTCCTTCACATCAGGTATTCAAGATATCGAGTCATGAAACTCAAATTAAGCTGTTTTTTGCCATCTTTGAGACGGTATAACAGCGCGAAGACATGTTTATTTGTAAAATTTGTTATGTCATCTGAAAGTTCAATCTGTCGACATTAAAATAAAGATTTATGCTTTGTTTTTCGAGATATTGGTTTTAGCGCTACACAATAATTTAGAAAGTTGTGCCTTGATCTCTGGGTTTCGACTTTTTTCAATTTTGTAGGCCTGTGTTACTTAAGAGTATTCAAAATATTTCGAATATAAGTTGAAAAAAGCTTATAATCTAAAAAACTTCTACGAAAATTTGTTAAAATTCATGAAAATTTTAAAATTATTTAAAAAAAAATTGTAAATTATAAGAAATTGTCCCCAAAATAAAATTTAATTTTTATTAGTTCTCTTATATAATAAAAAAACACGATTTTTGTTTTTTAAAAATGTGAATGCAACTTTATTCATAATTTTTGTTTGTTTTTATTTTTTGTTTAGAAAGTGTACAATTACAATATTATTTTTTATTATTATTTTGTTGTTGTTGTTCTTGTTGTTGTTGTTCAATCAATACAATTTTATATTTGATTTTTTTTTCATTTTCTGGTTAGAAATTAATGATTACATTATAATTAATTAAAACAATTTTTATTTTTTTGTTTGTTTTCAATTTCTTTAATTTAAAAGTTAATGTTACTTGTTGTTTTACTTTAATATTACTTTAATTGTTTTTTTTTTCTTGTTAAATATATAATTTATTTTTTATTAATTTTGACTAGAACTAAATTATAAAAGAAAACAAAGTGTATTATTAAGTGAAAAGAAAAAAATTAAAAACTTAAATTATTTAAATTGTTTTTATTTTATTAATGCAAAAATATTTATATATTTTTTTATGTGGTTTTTATATGTATGTATATTTCTAATTAATTTTGTGGTGGAGTTTTTATTTTCAAACTTTAAATTTTGATTTTGTTTTTTGTGTTAAAACTAAAATGTTTAAAATTGTTTTTATAATATTTCACCAGAATTTTGCTATAATTTTTTTAAGTCAAAAAAAAAAGTAATCTAAAAACTATAAAATAATAAATAAATACATACATACACTCTCTCTAAGCAAATATACAGACACAAATTATTGCTAATGAAAACAAAAAACAAAGGTTTGTTAATTAGTTTATTTAAATATATTAATGACAATGATTTTATATGTAAGTTATGATGATGAAGTTAGACATTTTGGAAAAAAAAAACTATTGAATTTAAAAATAATGCATCCTCATCATGCTGCAGTGGTTAAGTTTAAGAAAAGGCTTCTTCAAAAATGTTTAAATTTGAAAATTAACTAAAATTCCCATTATTTAAAGATTAAACCAGAGACCAAAATATACTTTTCTAAAGGATTGAGCGATGCTGAATCCGATATCTCGAAAAGAGAAGAAGATATAACGGTGTTAAAAGCTTTATTTTAAAGTCGACATATTGGACTTTCAGATGACATATCATAATTTCGAGAATTTAAGTTCGAATTTAACACAAAATGCTTATTTTCTGAAACTTTATTAAAAATTTTTTAAATTTTATGAAAATTTTCAAAACTTTTTAAGTTCGAAATTCGAAAATGTCAAAAAATTTACCAAAAATAAAAGTAAAAAATTTTGAGATTATTTGATAACTTTAAATTTTCGAACATAAGTTCGAATTTTCGAAAATTAGAATTTTAGCTCGAATTTACTCTGAGAAACGTTTATTTTCTGAAAATACTTTTAAAATTCATGAAAAAGTTTTGAAATTTTTTTAGTTCGAAAATCTAAAATGTGAAAAATTTAACTTCGAGCATACATAGAAGTGCGAATTTTTAAATATTTTGTAGAAATTCTCAAAATTTATCATAATTTAGAAAATTTTAGTTGAAATTTACACTCAAACGCTTATTTTTTGAAACTTTATTAAAAATTCTTCAAAATTTTTGAAAATTTTCTAATTATTTTTAAAATTTTTTTTCAGTTCGAAATTCGAAAATGTAAAATAATATTGAGATAAATAAATTTAAATTATATTTTATGAATTTTTTTGATTTGGAGATAATTTTGACAACTTTGCAAATTTTTCGAACATAAGTTCGAATTTTTGAAAAATTTTTAAATTTGTCATAATTTAGAATATTTTAGTTCAAATTTACTCTCAAACGGTTATTTTCTGAATTTTTATTGAAAATCCTTCAAAATTTTCAAATTATTTAAAAAAAATTTTTTAAGTTCGAAATTCAAAAATGTTAAAAAATATTGAGATAAATAAATTCAAATTATATTTTATGAATCCTCCTGATGTAGAGATTTTTCTGACAATTTTAAAAATTTTTCGAATATAAGTTCGAATTTTCGAAAATTTTTAAAAATTTATCATAATTTACAGAATTTTAATTGGAATTGACTATGACTACCAAATAAAATTGAAATTATATTTTTAAGAATCCTCATAATTTACAATTATTTTAACAACTTGAACATTTTTTCGAACATAAGTTCGAATTTTCGTAGATTTTTAAAAATTAATCATAATTCAGAGAATTTTAATTGGAATTGACTCTGAAACTTTTATTTTCTGAAACTTTATTGAAAACACATAATAATTTTTGAAATTTTCAAAATTTTTTAAGTTCGAAATTCGAAAATGTAAAAATTGATCTCAAATAAAAGTAAAATTATATTTTTATGAATGCTGCTGAATTAGAGATTATTTTGTTAACTTTAAAAAATTTTCGAACATAAGTTCGAATTTTCGAAAATTATTAAAATTCATTATAATTTAGAAAATTTAAAAACAAATTTTGCCCTAAAACTTTTATTTTTAGTAGCTTTATCGCAAATACTTAAAAATTTATGAAAACTTTTTAAAATTTGTAAAAATTTTTCGAACATAAGTTTGAATTTTCGAAAAATTTAAAAATTGTTCATAATTTAAAGAATTTTAGTTCAAATTGACTGGGAAACGTTAAATTTTATAAACTTAAAAATGATTAAGCCACTGTTCATGATTTCATTGTTTTTGCATTCATTTAGAAAAGAAAAATTGTTAAAACAAAAAAACTGCCCAAAAGTTTTTAAAAAACTTTTCTAATTTCTCTACACTAGCCAAAGAGACTATTTGTTGTTGCTGATGTTTTGTATTGTATATTGTATTTACTTTAAGTTGTTGTTGTTGATTTTGTTTTTGTATCTGTTCTTAAGTTGCAAAGGATTGTTTTGGTAATTTCAGTTATTTGTTGTTAAATATGTATTTCTGCTGTTTGTTGTTGTTGTTGGTGTAATAGAATAAAATGTAAAAATGTTGTTTATTATTCTTTATAGTTATTTTGAGTGTATGTTTGTTTTTTTGTAAGTTGTTGTTGTAAAAATTTACATATGTAAATATTATGTTTGTTTTACATATTTTTGTTTTTTGTTACATTTTTGTTTATTGTGATATTTTTGTGTTTTATTTATATTATATTTTTTTATTATATATATAATTGTAAGCATACATGTATAATGCATGTGTTATAAAAATACTTTTTTTTAATTTTTTTTTTATATTTTGTGTTTTTTTTTTCTTAAAATTTATGTTTTTTTAAATTTATTATTAGTTTTTATTTATCTTTTCTGATGAGGCAAAGTTATATTACTTTAAGTTTATTACTTTGCAGTTTATTTTAATTTTAATATTTTTCTTTTTTTTTACTTAATAATAGTATATGTTGTGTATATATAATATTTTTTTTATTTTATTTGTTTTTACTACATCTACAAATACATACGTACTTCCTTTTTAACTTTACCTTCTTCTTTTTATTATTTTGTTTTAACTTTCTTCCTTTTTCCCTCTACTAATTTTATGAATATGTTCATTTTTGAAGATTTGTTTATCCTCGTGTTAAGGTTTTTTTTATATTTTTATTATTTATATGTTTTTTTTTTTAACTACAGCTACAACTACAGTTTTATATTTATATATATGTATATTAAATTTTTATTAGTATTGGGTGTTGGTTTTTTAAAAATATTAACATAATTTTAAATATTTATATTAATTACAAAAAGGTAAAGCTTTTTTTTTTAATGTAAATAAAATTTAAACTTAATTTTTTATATATTTTTACTGTGCGTTGTAATGTTTTAAAAAAATGTATTAAAAATTTCCAAAAATCCGCTAAAAATGTCTACCAATAACAAACTTTTAGTGTTCAGAAAAACTTAATAACAAATTAAAAAGTTTATATTTTAAAACCACTTTCAAAACACTTTAAAAATTCATTAAAAATTTTCAAATTATTTTCAAAATTTGTAAAGTTTTTTTTATAGAATAATTTAAAATTTTTGATATTTATCATAATTTACAGGACTTAAGTTCGAATTTGCACTGAAATGCATATTTTCTGAAACTACACTGAAAATATTTTAAAATTGTAAAAACATTTGTAAATTATTTTCAAAATTTTTTAAGTTTGAAATTCGAAAATGTAAGAAAATAGCCACAAATAAAACTTAAATTATATTTTTGGGAATCCTCATGATTTACTGATTATTTTAACAGCTTTAAAAATTTTTCGAAAATAAGTTCGAAATTTCGAAAATTTTTTGAACTCATCATGATTTAGAAAATTTTAGTTCGAATTTTCTCAGCAACACTTATTTCCTCAAATTGACAAAAAATTCATAAAAATTTTCAAGTTCGAAATTCGAAAATGTAAGAAAATAGCCACAAATGAAACTAAAATTACATATATTTTTATGAATCCTCATGATTTACAGATTATTTTAACAGCTTTAAAATTTTTTCGAAAATAAGTTCAAAATTTCGAAATTATTTTGAACTCATCATGATTTAGAAAATTTTAGTTCGAATTTTCTCAGCAACACTTATTATCTTAAAATTGATTGAAAATTCAGGAAAATTTAAAATTTTTTAAGTTCGAAATTCGAAAATGTGGGAAAAATAACCTCAAATGAAACTAAAATTTTATTTTTATGAATCCTCATGATTTACAGATTATTTTAACAGCTTTAAAAATTTTTCGAACATAAGTTCGAATTTTCGAAAATGTTTAATATTCATCATGATTTGGAAATTTTTAGTTCGAATTTACTATGAAATGCTTGTTTTCTGAAAGCTTATTGAAAATACTTTAAAATTGTAAAAAAATGTAAGTTCGAAATTCGAAAATGTGAGAAAATAACCCAAAAATTATATTTTTATGAATTTTCCTGATTTAAAGATTATTTTAACTTTAAACATTTTTCGAACATAAGTTCGAATTTTCAAAATTTTTTTTTAAATAATGAAGATTTATATAATTTTAGTTTGTATTTTGCCAAAAAAATTATGGATCCTCTTCTAGAGACTGTTTCAAAAGCATTAAAAAATTATCGAACAACATTCAACAGTTCAAAATCATTTTCCAAAATCGTTATAGAAAGTAATTATTATACCCTTCACCTTCGTGAGAATGATTTACTTACACGATTGTAATTTTGAATCTGTCACCTTATAGATATCGAAGTCCATTTAGCTGGGTCCTTATTTCCGTATGTTAAATTAAAATTCCTGAAAACCCCAGATATCTTCGGGATGCAAATATTAGACCTATTTTTTAAAATCAGCAAAATCGTTCCATAAAGAAAATTAGTGTTAAATTTGGAAAAAACCCATGATTTTTATGAGCCCAACTTCGGATAAGTTTTCCAAAAATTGTTATACCTTTCACATTCGCGATTCTAAATCCTTATGGATATTAAAGTCCATTTATATCTGATCAGTAAAGTAATTATTATATCCTTCTCCTTCGAGAGAATGCTTTACGATTACAATTGTAATTTCTATAGATTAGAATTGTGAACTGAGGATCCTAGTTATCTTAGGTATCCAAACCTTGAATCAGACATGCTTTCGAAAAGTTTGCTATAAGAAATCAGCAAAATCGGTCCATAATTAATAAGGAAATAATGACATTTCCAGAACTTTATATATAATTTTGTTTCATAGCAATATGTATATCAAAAGAGAGCTACTAATATTTCAAATATTTAGACAAAAAAAATTTAAAAAACAAAGAACAAATTTTCCAAAAATTAAGAAAATATTAAAAAAATTAACAAAAAATCTTAAAAGCCGTTTTTTATTTTTATAATTTTATAAAACAATAACTAATTTGAGCCCTTATGAGAAAAAATATTAGAACCTTTATTTTCAAAAAAAAAAAAAAAACTAACAAAAAATAATAATTTTATTGTTTTTGTAATATGTTAACAATAAATGATGATTGATAATTACTTTGATATATTCCAAAAACTTAATTGAATGCGTTTTTTTTTTTATTTTTTTACTTTATTAATTATTTTGTAAAGCTTTACCTCTTTGTTAAAAATACTTAAAATGTTTTGTTTTTGTATCAAATAAAATAATAAAAAATAAAATAAAAAATTTAAAAAGAAATATTATATATGATATCATTACAATGATCTTATTAAGAAAGGTGTGTTTTTGTTGTTGTTGTATATATAAATATTAGACGTGTAATTTGTGTGTGTTTTTTTATTAAATGGTTAAAAAGGTAAAGGATCAAGAAATTATATGTTGTTTTATATGTTGAATTGTTTAGGGGGGGGGGGGTTTTGTTAAACAAAATTAAATTAAATTTTTTTAAATAAATCACAAACTAGTAAGAATAGTATACATTAAAAATATAAAGAATTTTTTTTTTTTAAATTAAAACATAATGTTTTTTATAATATTAAATATTAAAAAGTATAAAACTAAATAAAATGTAACGTTAGTGTAAGATATTTTAAATATTTTCAAATTGAAAAATGTTTAAAATAAACACAAACGCACATATATAGAAAAATAGAATAAAAAATAAATTAGGATTTAATCCTGTTTAAAAAAATAAAAGTTAAAATAAATGTTTTAAAAAAGTTACATAATACGATTATTATTATTAAAGAAAACCACTAGTTATTAAACAAACAAAATAAAAGATATTTATAAGATCTGCAATACAAAAGAAAAGGGGTCTGAAACCGCCTTTTTAGTTGTATATTTTCCATTTCCGATTTTTCTTAAACAAAAACCTTTAAAATAGTTTTATTTTGTCTGCCAAACATTAGGCTATTGTAGAAATAATAATCTTCTCTTACTCCTTATAAGATCCATATCAAAAATTGTTAAAGTTGTAAAAAAATAGATCCTCTCCTGCTTTTTTTCCAATCTGGTGCTTATTTTTCCTTAAATTGTTTATTTAATTACTAATGTGCTGTTGGTGTTTTATTCTTTTTTTTTAATATTTTTATTTCTAATTCAAAATTTTTTTATTTTGTTGTTTGTTGAGAGAGAGAGAGGGGGTGTAGAGTAGTAGGTGTAGGTTTGTGTGTTGTGTGTGTGTATTTTATATGCTGCCTTCGTCGGGTCTACCTTTTTTATAAAGTTTTATTTACTTTTTTTGTTTAATTTTTAGTTTTTTTTTTTTTTTTTTAAATAGTTTGTAGAAAAAAATTGAAAGCTTACGCACCTTTAGCCACCTTTGTAAACAGACACAAACTTACATACACATGCAGGTCATCATCAACATTATCGGGAAGTAGTCTTACCAATGGTTAGACGACAACAACGATAACGTGATAAGCTTGTTGATGATAGTTGTCTTTTTTGTTTTCTTTTTCGCTTTTAATAGCCCTTAAGACGATCCGCTAACGGTGGCTTAGGTATTTTGGGTTGTTTGGCACGCGCTATACGCATACGCTCAGCTGCCTTGGCCAAACGTTTTTTACGTTCTTCGGGAGTTTCACTGGCACGTCGCAATCGCTGGCGTGCCGCATTTTTCATCAGTCTTAAGGTTCTTTGTACTTCGTTTTCATTCTGACGTCGTATACGATTCGCTTCGGCATTTTTCGCCAGCCGCAAACGATACTCAGCTTCGGACTCTTTGGCGCGTTTCTCGCGCATTCTTGCAGCGTTCCGTTCCAGTCTTCGTTGGCGGGCCTCGGGTGATTCGTTACTACGACGTCGGGCGGCTTTCTGGGCGCGTGTAGACTGCGAGGAGGTGCTGCTGAGCGACTGATGCAACGGATGGGCGTTTGTTGTGTTCGGATTGTTGTTGGCTGACTGTTGTTGTTGTTGCTGCTGGTGCTGGACCTGGTGGTGGAAAGTGTTTTCTAAATTTAGAGCAACTGCGGCAACAACCGTTGAATTGGCGGCAACGACGGCAGCGTTGGTGTTGGCGTTATTGTTGTTGGACGTGGAGGCGGCTGAAGAGGCAGAAGTATTATTGGCGGCGGCTGCTGCTGAGGCGGAGGAGGCGGCTGCTGCTGTTACTGCTGCGGCCGCTGCTGTTACCGTATAATTGTTATAGTCTATGAGTCCCCGATTACTTGGGTAGAGGTGATGCATGGGATTATCATAATTGAGGTATTCCGGTTTGATTAAGAAGGGGTCGCGTGCGGACAGTGGGGCCGTGGGTGAGTTGAGGAAATACAGGCGGCTATGATGATCTGTCGTTATGCTCCCTCCACCTCCCACTCCTGTGGACATCTGTAGTGGTGGATTTGCGATGTTGTATCAATCGCAGCTTTTTAGCAGTTTATTTCTTTTTTTGTCGTTTTGTTTTTTGCCAACTTTTTTTCGTTTGCCCTCCACACACAGAAATTTTCACACTTTATTATTCGCGCTTTTTTTGCGTTTCACACAAAAACTTTTCATTAACACTTAACAAAATCCAAAAAACACTTTGTTTTCGAAGTTTTTTTTAAATAGTAAAGAGGATTTTTCCAAAAAAATTTTACACAAAATTTAACAAAAAAAACTTTGAGTAAACAATAAAAGCGACATAACTAATCAATATGGAAAAAATATTTCCAAAATCTTATTGGAAATTGGGAAAAAGTGCGCAAACGTCATTTCCAATAAAAGTATGAATAATTCCAAGCAAAACTAAAACAGGGTTGTCTTGCACAAAAGTAATAACAAAACAAAGTGAAAATTATTTTTTCTACTAAATGTTTGTTATTCAATAGGCAAATTATTATAGTCAATAATTTTAAATAAATTATGGTTTTAATAATAAAATGTTTAAAAATATAAATAATTTTTTGTGTTTTCTTCGTGGCTTTTCTGCGGCAGTACTTTTTAATACAACTGTGTGTGTATGTGTTGTTTCACTCTACACATGTTTTCATTTCCAATTGTCAAATCTTTTTTCTCTTTTGTTTATGTTTTACAAAATCTTATAGAAAAATCGTATAAGATTTGTTTAATTATTTATGAAATATTAGAAAACTTACATACCTTTAGTTAATAAAGTTTTTATCTGAGCTTAAATTGTTTCGTTGCTTTTAATCAGTTAATTTAGTAATGTGTTTGAGTAATAAATCTTTAATTTTACTTCCACAAAATTTTTGTGCAATGTACACAAGTATGTTCGATGTGTCAATTAATTGTTTACAAAACTTAATTAGATGTTACCAGATTGTTAGGAAAGGTTTCTTTAGGTTGTTGAGCATAATAACGGTAATCATTATTTGAAACAATAGCAGGAAGAAGAATTAAATTACATTATGTCGGAAAAGGAATTTATTGTTAATATCTCCCTTTAAAATGTTACACGGTTCATAATTGACCATTGTTCCCTTATAAAACCCGAAAATCACTTCATTGTAAAAAAGTCATGATCGGCCCATAATTGATCATAGCTCCCATATAAAGCCATTTTCTTAAAATCCCTTACTGAATAATGATATCGAGATAAAATGATAAACCGATATGTTATTTATAGGGATGCCAATCCCGAAATCCCGATCCCGAAAATCCCGGGATTTTTCTGGATTGGTAAATCCCGAATCCCGAGATTTGGAAAATAAATCCCGGGATTTTTTCGGGATTAGGATTTGTTTCAAAAAACTGTTTTTATTTTCTTTTTTTGAGCCATAATTTTAATTAATTTGAAAATTACGATCTTATTTTATTTTTGACTCATGCAAAACAAAATTCCGCAGAGCTAATTTTATACATATTTGAACCTTTTATTTTTTAAAGTGGTATGAGTCCATACACATAGCACATATAAATTTATTTATTCACTTCGTTTTTATACCTTACACCACTTTAGTGGGGAGGGTATATTGGGTTTGTGCTGATGTTTGTTACACACAATAATATTGGTCCTATACCTTAAAGTATACCAATCGGCTCAGAATCATTTTCTGAGTCGATTTAGCTATGTCCGTCCGTCTGTCCGTCCGTCCGTGTAAACCTTGTAATCAAACTACAGCAATTTTGAAGATAATTCAATGAAATTTTGCATGATCTTCTATTGTACTAGAGACGGATCCTATTGAAAATGGATAACATCGGTCCAATATTTGACCTAGCCCCCATACAACTGAACCCCCCAAATAGGGTTTTTAAGTTCATAATTATGTTCAATATACTCGTAACTCGACAAAATGCTGCAAAACCAAGTTCTATACTAGCCTTCATGACCCTGATGTATTTTTTGATGATGCGGCCTCATTTGACGCTAGCCCCTATGCAAAGCCCCCTTCGAAATATGACTTAAATGTACACAATTTTATTCAACAAAAAATAGCTAAATTATATCTGAGGCAAGGTACAATTCAACTTAGATGCTTTATTATGAACAATAAATCACATTTTATTTTTATAACTGGTGTAGGGTATTATATGGTAGGCTTCGCCCAACTATAACTTTTTACTTGTTAGCACATTGCAATGTTGGTCGTAGACCGACCCAAAAAGTATACACATTCTGTGTCTGTAAGCTGAAAACACGAGTTAGAAGACTCATTCTATTTGGGCTGCAAATTTGGACCAAAATTGACACAAAAAAACCTAATTGGACCTCCTCTGAAAATCACATTGATGCTGATATTAATATCAATACATTACAATATTTTGATGGTGGGTATTTAATTTCGGCACAGTCGAATACAAACTTTATTTTTCAATACTAGAGGATTTTACATTTCTAACTTTCTACAAATCTGAATGATACCGGTAAAGGTAAATTACCTTGTTCTGAATGCACCTAAAATTTTAAATTAATACTACGAATATAATAATATGTTCCAAAACTAATATGTATTTTGAGTAAAATTCCAAATATTTTTCAAAGAATAGGTTCTAAATTGATGTTCGAATAATTGAATTGGTATCTGTTATAATTATTAGTTCACATGAAACAGTATGAGGTTTTAAAAAGTGCTTATGTCTAATTTCGGAACTTGATATTTATTTTTATTTAGGAAGTAAGTATGTATTTAAAAAGTTTCAGAAATTATGCAATTCTGAAAGTTTTTATTTAAAAATTGGAATTAATTGGATTGTTTTAATTTAAATATATCTTCTGTCTGTTAAATTTCCACAAAATTAAACAATTTTCTTTACAAATATGATGATTTAAAGATTTTCATATATAAAATAATTAAATTCATGTAATCCCGAAATCCCGTAAAATCCCAAAATACCGAAAAATCCCGGGATCCCGAAAAATCCCGGGATCCCGAAATATCCCGGGATCCCGGGATTGCAATTTTCAAAATCCCGAATCCCGGGATTTGTAAAAGCCAGTCCCGTTTGGCATCCCTAGTTATTTATATATACAAATCATTCTGCTACATTCTTTCCGGATCTGTCATTATTATTTGAGCTTTCAAAATTAATAAAATATAAATTTTTAGAAATATGCGACGTTTTAATAAAAATCTAACTTATCTCTTTGTTTTGAATTATCCCTCAATTTTCACACAGGCCAACAAGATATGAAAAAAACCAAAAATTATATTTTTAAGGTCGACAGATTGGACTTCTAGATGACATAGCAAATTTTATTAATAAAGTGTCTTTGCTCTGTTATAGCGTTCAAAATATGGACAAAACCTTTCGTAACTCTATATCTGGAAAACATGATCTGATGGATAAATTTAGAGACCAGATTCGGTTTCAGCGCTGCTTAATTCTTTAGAAAAGTAAACTTTGGTCTATGGGTTAAACTTTCTTTGAAGTGTTTTTTTTTTTAAATCACTTTTTTACTTTTCTAACTCGTCGAAAACCGCCTACACTGGCAACACTCTCATGTCTACACTGAACATACCTCTTGCTCATTAATAACAACAACCACTTGTTTGTTTGTATGTTTTGTTTTATTGTTATCACTTGTTCAGCGCGGTAGTTAGTGCATGCAGCCGCCAAGAAATAAATAAGAAAAAATCAAGTAATTTAGTTCGGTTTCAGTATTTTACAAGAAATGGCCAAGAGGTGGTACAAGTAATTAATAACGAGATGCAAAAATCAAATTTGTTAACAATGATAAAGTGTTTTAAATAATAATTAAATAAAAAACCACAAAGAAAATGCAGAAATATGTAAATGGAAGACAAGTGATAGTGAAAAAAGTTAACCATTAAACAAACAAAAACATGTTTAAGTGAGATTTGTGTTTTAACAAATTATGTCATAAAACATTTATATATGCAGTAAACAAACGTAAGTTATCTACTTAATTTCATTTAAAAAAATAACAAGTGATAAAATTAATTGTTTAACTAATATTCTCTTAAAATTAAACTACTTGTTTTTTTTCTGAGCTCAGGTGTGAGAGAGAGAGAAAGAGACAGAGTGTGAATGAAAATATGTATGAGATTGTGTGAGCTATTAAGAGAAGTGTTTAATAACAACAACAAGAAAGTATAGACCGCATTTTTACAAATAATTAAATCGAAATTGTTTAGATAATTATACAAAGTGTGTAAAATTTCAGGGGTGTCAACTGCAGTTTTATGAAAGGTTATATTAATATCAATCTGAAACAGTTCGAATATACAATTGTTATAATTAGTGTTGAAATTTGTAAAACGTAGGATCAAGTTAATGGTACAACGTTCTACTCCATTTTGCTTAAAATCAGTTCCTGGCCATTTTTAGTGATGTTCGTCCGTAACGTTGAAATCGATTAGACTGAATGTCACAAATTTGAAGATAAATCATTGAAATTTTATATACGTACGTATGTAGATGTAAACCTAAACTAACTGCTTTAAATCGGTCCATATAAATTGGTGAAATATACGGATTTGTAGTTCTAATTCAGTTCTAAATCAATTCCAGTTCAGTACTATTTTAATTCTTGTTCAGTTCTAGTTCAGATCTAGTACAGTTCTATTTAAGTTTTTACCTTCTAGTAAAAGTGTTGATAATGATCTTAATTTGCAAATCATTAAACTTCAATTACAATTCAGTTCTACTTTAATTTTTCTTTAGTTCAGTTCTAGTTCAGTTCAAGTTCAGTTCTAGTTCAGTTCTAGTTCAGTTCTAGTTCAGTTCTAGTTCAGTTCTAGTTCAGTTCTAGTTCAGTTCTAGTTCAGTTCTAGTTCAGTTCTAGTTCAGTTCTAGTTCAGTTCTAGTTCAGTTCTAGTTCAGTTCTAGTTCAGTTCTAGTTCAGTTCTAGTTCAGTTCTAGTTCAGTTCTAGTTCAGTTCTAGTTCAGTTCTAGTTCAGTTCTAGTTCAGTTCTAGTTCAGTTCTAGTTCAGTTCTAGTTCAGTTCTAGTTCAGTTCTAGTTCAGTTCTAGTTCAGTTCTAGTTCAGTTCTAGTTCAGTTCTAGTTCAGTTCTAGTTCAGTTCTAGTTCAGTTCTAGTTCAGTTCTAGTTCAGTTCTAGTTCAGTTCTAGTTCAGTTCTAGTTCAGTTCTAGTTCAGTTCTAGTTCAGTTCTAGTTCAGTTCTAGTTCAGTTCTAGTTCAGTTCTAGTTCAGTTCTAGTTCAAGTTCTACTTCAGTTCTAGTTCAGTTCTACTTCAGTTCTAGTTCAGTTCTAGTTTAGTTCTAGTTCAGTTCTAGTTCAGTTCTAGTTCAGTTCAGTTCTAGTTCAGTTCTAGTTCAATTCTAGTTCAGTTCTAGTTCAGTTCTAGTTCAGTTCTAGTTCAGTTCTACTTCAGTTCCAGTTCAGTTCTAGTTCAGTTCTAGTTCAGTTCTAGTTCAGTTCTAGTTCAGTACTATTTCAGTTCTAGTTCAGTTCTAGTTCAGTTCTAGTTCAGTTCTAGTTCAGTTCTAGTTCAGTTCTAGTTCAGTTCTAGTTCAGTTCTAGTTCAGTTCTAGTTCAGTTCTAGTTCAGTTCTAGTTCAGTTCTAGTTCAGTTCTAGTTCAGTTCTAGTTCAGTTCTAGTTCAGTTCTAGTTCAGTTCTAGTTCAGTTCTAGTTCAGTTCTAGTTCAGTTCTAGTTCAGTTCTAGTTCAGTTCTAGTTCAGTTCTAGTTCAGTTCTAGTTCAGTTCTAGTTCAGTTCTAGTTCAGTTCTAGTTCAGTTCTAGTTCAGTTCTAGTTCAGTTCTAGTTCAGTTCTAGTTCAGTTCTAGTTCAGTTCTAGTTCAGTTCTAGTTCAGTTCTAGTTCAGTTCTAGTTCAGTTCTAGTTCAGTTCTAGTTCAGTTCTATTTCAGTTCTAGTTCAGTTCTATTTCAGTTATAGTTCAGTTCTAGTTATATTCTAGTTTAGTTCTAGTTCTGTTTTAGTTCAGTTCTAGTTAAGTTCTAGTTCAGTTCTGATTAAGTTCTAGTTCAGTTCTAGACTGTAAAATCGAATATACTTTATAAGGATTTGATATTTAAAATATGTGAAATTCTTATAACTCCAATAACGGTACTTTTTAAGTAAAGTTTAATTATTTCCGTTTATGAATACAAAAAAAATGTCAATATCCCCTATCCAGTCAGATGTTGAGAGTGTTCAAAAATATGTATATTTTTTAAAGAGAGAATTTCAATTGTTTTTGTTATAAGTACGTCGTATTACTATTTTACTTACTCATTTTATTACTAGTGTTTTTATAATAAAGAAACAACATAACAATGAACTGAAATTTAAATAGTTTTTAATTAAACATATTTGGCAAACGACGTTAATTTTTTATTATTATTATTTTTTGTTTGTTTTTTGAAAGCTACGAAGCAAGGGGGAAGTTATAATTATGAAATTTTATTTAATTTATATTTTCTGTTGTTTGTTGTTTTTCTTCATTTGATCACAACCACCAAATAAAAATACTCTACTCAGTTTACTAGACATTTCATTATCTACCTAAAAATACGTACATATGTATATAAGTATGTATGAATGACTGTCAGTCTGTGTGTTTACTTATGGATAATTCACATTTTTGTTTTATACAAATAATAAATATTAATAATATAAAACTATAAAAAATGAAAAAAAAGCTACAAAAATTTATATGGTTTCATATGAATGTATGAACGTTCGAATGTACGTTCGTAATATTTAGTATTCTATTGTAGTTTTATTTATATACATTTCGTACCATTTACATTTACAGTTTAATATTATAATTTTTCAGTATAAATTTGTTGTTTTTTTTTGGTTTGTTTTTAATAACAACAATTGTTATTTTTTAATTTTTCTTTTATTTCCTTATTATTTTTTATTCATATTCATAAATGATATAAAATACACAATAATACAATAGAAATTTATAGACTTTGATGATTATTATTTAGAAAATGATAATTGAATAAATAAATGAATGAAATACTTTTGGTATTTGGAGAGGAAGACTTATAATTTTTCTTTGTTGTTTTTGTAATATCTTGATAGACATTTTAGCTGCTAAGTAAAGTATGATTGATTGATTATGTTAAGATATTGATATTTTGTTCATAAGTATAATAAATGTAAAGATTTGAGAGATCAGGAGTCTCGATTCTGTAACCATAAATGTAGGGTTAGTTTTAGGAATTTATAAAAAAAAAACAACATTGTTTGCGGAAATTGTTTATTTAAAGAAAAACGAATATTTTCTCTTTAAAATAAGAAAATTTTATTCAATATATCTAATAGTGTTAAATGCTTTAGTTCAGTTCTAATTCAGTTCTAGTTCAGTTCTAGTTCTAGTTCAGTTCTAGTTCAGTTCTAGTTCAGTTCTAGTTCAGTTCTAGTTCAGTTCTAGTTCAGTTCTAGTTCAGTTCTAGTTCAGTTCTAGTTCAGTTCTAGTTCAGTTCTAGTTCAGTTCTAGTTCAGTTCTAGTTTAGTTCTAGTTCTAGTTCAGTTCTAGTTCTAGTTCAGTTCTAGTTCAGTTCTAGTTCAGTTCTAGTTCAGTTCTAGTTCAGTTCTAGTTCAGTTCTAGTTCAGTTCTAGTTCAGTTCTAGTTCAGTTCTAGTTCAGTTCTAGTTCAGTTCTAGTTCAGTTCTAGTTCAGTTCTAGTTCAGTTCTAGTTCAGTTCTAGTTCAGTTCTAGTTAAGTTCTAGTTCAGTTCTAGTTAGTTCTAGTTCAGTTCTAGTTCAGTTCTAGTTCAGTTCTAGTTCAGTTCTAGTTCAGTTCTAGTTCAGTTCTAGTTCAGTTCTAGTTCAGTTCTAGTTCAGTTCTAGTTCAGTTCTAGTTCAGTTCTAGTTCAGTTCTAGTTCAGTTCTAGTTTCAGTTCTAGTTCAGTTCTAGTTCAGTTCTAGTTCAGTTCTAGTTCAGTTCTAATTCAGTTCTAGTTCAGTTCTAGTTCAGTTCTAGTTCAGTTCTAGTTCAGTTCTAGTTCAGTTCTAGTTCAGTTCTAGTTCAGTTCTAGTTCAGTTCTAGTTCAGTTCTAGTTCAGTTCTAGTTCAGTTCTAGTTCAGTTCTTGTTCAGTTCTTGTTCAGTTCTTGTTCAGTTCTTGTTCAGTTCTAGTTCTGTTCTAGTTCTGTTCTAGTTCTATTTCAATTCAAGGTAAGTTCGAATTCAATTCTAGTTCATTTCGAGTTCAGTTCAGGTTCAGTTGCAGTTCAGTTCTTGTTTCCTCTCATCGACGCTTTTTGTATCTTTAACTGTTTATAGCCCTGGAAATTGTAAGTTTTGTAAGTATATACATATGTATGTACATATTTATTAAGTGTTTTTAATTACAACCATCATAATTTACAATCTAATTAAAAAACTCTTAATATGTACATATTTGAACCCTAAAATATTCAAAACATCATTCTTGTTTTTCTAAATTTTATTTGAAACACAGGAAAAAATTCAGCAACAAACAGTTTTAACATAAATTAAATTTCTCTTATTTTTAATTAACCAAAAGCAAACAAAACAGTTCATTTAATTCTGTTAAAAATTATAAACAAGATGAAAAATTTAACTCACACACATTTGTTTAAAAAAACTTAATAATGAAGAAAAAAAAAAACTAAAAAATAAATATTAAATTAAGAGAAAAAATAAACATTAATAAAAATCTCTACACAATATATCAACTCCATATGCACAGCATTTAGCAGAACTCCATACTCTTCTCTACAGTGCTCATGTGTTTTTAAATAAAAATTATGAACAAAAAAATTTAAACAAATCAACAACAACAACAACAAGAAAATTATGTTGAAATGAACCTTTACTTGGAGTTCAAATAACAAAATTTTACAAAAGACAGAAAAAATAACTATTCTCAGCAATATTTTCTTAAGTTATTTATTTCAATTTAAAAAGAAAACACAAACAAATAAAAAATTACAACAACAACAGAAAA